TAAACATAAACAGCTCGACCTTGGCCGGATACACCTGACTGTATATATTATAATTGTTTCAATTGTTAACTATTGCCTAACGTCAGCTGTACATATAAGCAGATTTTTTATATAAACCGCTGCTATGAAGTTTTAGATGCCATGTCTTAAGTATATGGAAAACTCAATCCGTTAATCAGACCTCAATTTCTCTCGTCCCGGCTTAAATTGAATGGAGGGGAAACTTCTACAATAATATTGAAGCATATACCTGTATCAAGATCAAGATCGGTATAGTAAGTATGATATGTTGAAAATTTGAACAATATCAATCTACAAACAACAAATTTATACCAAAAAATGTACCAGTCGGGTTATAAGGTGACTTTGAATGTATAATAATTTTAAAAATTCAATGTTCATTTAAGAGAGGAATAATAATTTATTTCAAGTACCGATTAAAGTTTCAACTGTTCTCACCGATTTTTTTAGAAAATGAATACAATCTAATCGGCGCGTAAAAGACATAAAGTAATACGGAGTTGTCGGAAATTGTTGTTCATATTAACAAAGTTATACCTCTCTTCCGACAGCAAGAGACATTTTCAAAATTTGTCTTTCTTTTTTTTTAAACAAAAGTCATTCCGGATTGATACAGCGTCCAGGGGAGGTACCCTGGAATATTGAAAATTTGTATATGATAAAGTCACCATCCCCATTAGTTTCAAACTCACAAGCACAAGTTTACAAGCATTATAAAGCAACACTAGAACACGTTGTCATATGGGTGTACGATCACGTGTTTCAATGTGTTTTGCATTTGATTGAAATCCTTAATATAATTTGTATGACATTTTCCATTTTCGTGGAACCAATGAGTGACCTATTGACTTAAGTTGTATGCAAAGTCACTTGTGTGCATTTATAATGATAGAAAAAATCGCAAACAAGAGATGTTGTTGGACGTCACTAGCATAGCCACGTATGAAATATGATAATGTCCATGCCACAAGATGAAAATAAATCATTTATTTAATTTTACCCATGAAATATGGTGTATATCAGTCAAATATATTTCTTTTTTTTTAATAAATATGAAACATAAATATGAAATTGGGCGGAGTCAAACTAATATTTATTTTAAGGGACTTCTTTCGCCTTTTTTTTGAAAAATCTAATAAATACAAAACAACTTTTTGTTGAATTTTGCTTTGAAAACTATCTAGAATGATAAAAAATGGTCTAACTAAGAAAATTAATCCGAACACCAATATCAATATATAAGAAAGATTGTTAAGAATCCAGTTAATTGTCATAGATATGTAAATATACGATCGCTTAAAAATTACTCTAAAGAAAATTGTATTGCGGAGTTGACTCAAAAAGACTGGAGTTATTGCTTTTATTCTTTAATGTTAATAACGCATGGTATAATTTTTAGAAAATTTTCACTGATTTATTAGATAAGATTGCTCCATTTAAGGAAATGAGACTTAAAAATCAAACTGAACCTTGGATAGATTCAAATATTCTAGATCTGATACATAGGCGAGAGAAAGCATATGCAAGGTATAGAAAAAGTCGTAATAATTCTGACAAGATTTTGTTCAATAAACTTCGCAATGAAGTACAACGATCTATAAAATTGGCAAAATCTAAATTCTACTTAAGGGCAAATATTAGATAATAAGAACGACAATAAGAAACTATGGCAGAATATCAAATCCCTTGGTTACAGTAACAATAAAAAAGAAAGTCCGAATATTGTTTTGTCGATTGATGGTGAAACTTATCACGATCTTTGTAGAGTTGCAAGTCATTTTAATAACTTCTTTACAAATATTGCATCTAATTTAGTACTAATAATATCTGTCATATGTTGCGGTTCGGACCGGAATATCCGTCCCGAGGGGACCCGCCCATGGGCGGGTTCCCGAGGGACGGATATTCCGATCCGAACGGCAAACATATGAAAGATATTTTTTCTTGCATATTCTGCCATATTATTTCATATTTAAAATGGTTTACCTCAATATGATATATGTTCATGGAAATTAAAGTCATTTCATCCATAACTATTTTCTTACAATAGCGTATGAACTTACAACTTAAATAACAACGGCGAAATGACGTCATCCTTAGCACATATTTCCCTTCTAAAACGACGTCATTTTAACGCGGTTCATTCATAAATGGCGCTAAAATGACGTTGTTGTTTGGCACGCGACTCATCTGGCACCCCCCCATGCCAGATGAAATTTCCGGCATGGGTAAAACTCACGGAAACGCCAGTCTGCTATGCAAGAAACAAACTTCCGGCAGCAAAGACTTTGTGGCATCCGATACAATAAAGAATTTTTATAGGAACATATCACAAAAAGAGTTTCACCTTCATCATGTAAGTGAGGAGTTTGTATATAAAGAATAATGTAGGCTTAATATAAACAAAAGCACTGGATTAGATGGTATCCCTGCAAAATATCTTAAAGATGGTGCTGATATGTTAAAAATCCCTATAACTTATATTGTGAATTCTTCAATATCAGAGGGGGTTGTCCAAGATGATATGAAAACCTCTACACAAAAAGAATAGTAAGCGAGATGTCGGGAATTACAGACCAGTTAGTATTTTATGTATTGTATCCAAGATTCTAGAACGGGCCGTGTATGTACAATTTGAGTCATTTCTAAGAACTAATAATCTAATTTACGAACACCAGTCCGGGTTTCGGAAATCTCATTCAACTGACACATGTCTTATTTACCTACTTGACTATGTCCGTACAAAAAGCTCCAAAGGGTTACTCACTGGTATAATTATGATGGACTTACAAAAAGCATTTGATACCGTCATTAGGTGTCAAATCTATTTCTTTGTTTAAATCATACTTGTCAGGAAGGTATCAAAAGGTAAGTTTTGGTAAAGTTTTTTCTGACTCAATTCCTATTACATGTGGGGTCCTTCAGGGCAGTATTTGGGGTCCTCTTCTATTTCTCTGCTACGTTAATGACATGGTAACTAGTATCGATTCTGATTGCAAGTTAATTTTATATGCAGATGATAGCACACTATTATTTTCGCATAAGGATCCAAAAATTATAGCCCAAAAACTTTGAAAGGTTTAGGAACGATGCTCAGATTGGTTAGTTGATAATAAATTATCTCTACACCTGGGCAAGACTGAATGTATGCTATTTGGTTCTAAATCAAAAAATTAATTATTTACAATTTTTTTCCATTTCATGTAATGAACAAACAATAAAGTATTCGTCTGAAGTTAAATATCTTGGTTTGAATATTGATTGTTACCTATCAGGAGATAAAATTGTCAAGAACATTCTTTCAAAGGTGAATGGAAGATTACATTTTCTATACCGTTACAAAAATTGTTTATCAGAAGAAATAAAGAAACAGTTATGTCCTGCCCTTTTGCTGTGTCACTTTGATTATTCTTCATCTTCTTGGTACGAAGGACTGAGTAAGTCACTGAAGCACAAACTTCAAGTAGCTCAAAATAAGGTTGTGCGCTTTATAAAAGACTATACCCCTAGGACTTCGGTGACAAATAAGGTTCTGTGTGATCTTAAAATATCTAAAAATATTAAATGTCAATGATAGAGTTATACAGTTAAGACTCAACCACATTCTTAAAGTTTATTACAACAAAAGCCCTTCTTATTTAAAAGAATTGTTTAAGGTTTGTAGAATATCCAATTTAAGATATGGTAATTTTAATTTTGTTTTGCCTCAAAATGATTCTCATGTTAAAAACACATTTTTCTACAATGCCATAAAAGACTGGAATTCTTTACCAGACAACTTTAGATCAATTGACAATATCCAAACATTTAAAACGAAAGTAAAACTTTTTTAAGTTATGAAAATGATAAACAAGTGAATAATATGTTTTATTTATTATTAAATTGATGTGTAACTTATGATAAGGTTTTGTAACATGTTTATGTTGTACTTGATATGTTTTAGTTTAAACGAAATTTATTTCATTTTGTTTGTGTACAATGTACTTGTCTTATTATATTGAAAAATTTGTCTTGATGAAAATTGTCATTTATATTAACTTCTTTATAATTCATTTATTATTATGTTAGTTATTGTAATAATTTTACAGGAAATTGACCCCATTGGAAAATAAGCTTTTAGCTTAATGGGCAATCCTAGGGTAACATAGAACATACTCATTAATTAATCTTATAATCATTTTTGTTGCATTTATGTGTGTGTTCATATATATATATATGTAAGTTGATATATGTGATTACATTGTGGTTTAAACATATTTATTTAAGCTCGATTGCGAAACAAGTTCTTGCAACTTATATTAATCACTTTTCGATTACATTGTACGTGTTTATGTCTATTTCCTGAATAAATCGATACGATCTTTAATTCAGTCATTAACGCTGTACAGACGTTTAAAGAGTTGATTACGTGACGTCACAATTTAGCGCTAAATATCGCGTTCAAAACAAGACAATAATTAATATATTACTGCGCGCTGTACAATTCGTAGCAAAGGGGGTTTGTAACCACTTTTCTTTGACATTAAAATTAAATAAAAAGGTTATTTTTTCGGTTTTCGTGAAATATGGTAGATCTATATATTTTCACTCAACATGATAAAATGCCACATACTTTCAATCGCCGTCCCGGCTCGTGAAAATATGTGGCTTTTTATCATGTTGAGTGAAAATATATTCCATATTCCACTCAAACGCAAAAATATCCTCTTAGTAATTATAGAATAAAACATTCTGTTTTAAGACATTACGATTTGAAAGACTTTCCGTTCAATTTTGTGTTGTGGCTGAAATTATAAGAAGTCCGGTAAAACACTAGTGAAAACACGGAAAATATGTTTCACTGCAGTGAAAAATAAATTTTTACTGTGAAAATACGCATTTTATTTCATGAATATTTCTCAGTATTTCATTTATAAGTACATGTACGTGTACATAATAATAGAAATACTGACATATATTAAAAGCCAAATGATATTTACCTTTAACAAATGCAGAGAGTTTTTTGGCTTTTGATGCGCTTGTTATTGCGACTAGACGTCCCCTATACCCATGACATTGTCTGTTGGCTGATTTCGCCGTGCGAGTGTATGGAACAAATTTCCAGCAATAATTATATTTTTCTCCATTTATTCGCTCGTAGGACTTTTTGAAGTAACCGATGCATTCCACTGAAAAAATAATAAAAAAGTGTTAAAAAAAGGAAAAAAAAACCAACAAACAACAAAAATAAATAATAATAATAATAATTTTAATAATAATAATAAATAATAATAATAATAATAATAGTAATAATAATAATAATAATAATAAAAATAATTCAATAATAATAATAATAATAATATTGATAATAATGGTTCAAGCGAGAAAATTGGTTGCCAACTGGACAAAATGGGTACTGAGTTATGAATATTTACAACTCTCAATAATTTTCTTCAGATAAGTGAGTTTGCATGTTATTTTGGAAAAAAATATATGCCCATTTCTAAAAACAATTTTTATGACACACTCGGCTTTAAGTTGTATCTTCCTAGCTTTTGATTTGACGAAGTTATCATAGATATAATCTGACCAGTAATGTATAATTATATATTTTTTATTTGACAGATGACAATTCTGGTCGGATTTTCTTCTCATTTATTCTTATCTTTTAGTTTTGAAGTTCACCAAACAAGACGAAACATATTTTTGTCAATACTGTGTAAATGTTTTACTTGCATTTTAATTTTCAATACAGTATATTAATTCAAGAACAGTTGAATTTTTAAAGTAGAAGTAAATGTGTAAAATAAAAATTTAAATCTAGAGTATACTTACTGCCCTGTTGAGAACCGTCATCTGAATGAAAACAGCAGATACACAAAAACAAGAACACTTGTACGTTTAAACTAATTCTCATGTCCCTTTCACCATTTTCTTAAATTATTTCCTATATTCTTCTGTTTCAAATATTTTCCATTATTTCCGGTCCTAATTTTACATGACGTCATTATTTGGCGCCAAATGACGCCACTGTCTGAACTGAAGGAAATGAAATTAAGGATTAATCCCCTTGTTGAATATAATTTAATAATAATAATAATAATAATAATAATTATTATAATATCTTTATTTAAAGGAACTCAACTGAGGTTTATAAGCCTAAAACATGAAATTTTATTTTTTCACACAGATAAACATGAGCACTTAAAACAAAAATATTAATAAAATATAACCAAGAAATATAGAAGAAATACATTGAAAATCATGTTTGTGCTATTCTCAGTCCAATTTGAGTGAAAAGCGTTTAAACGCTTTTCAATTTTGGGTCATTTTTCACTTTTATAATAATTATTCTGGAAAAACAGAGCAAGCTAATGATCTGAAATTTTGCACATAAGTTATTAGCATAGATTTACATCAAATGGAGTAATAATCTCAAAAAATTATTTCCAGTCCCGTCATGTTAAAAAACCTCAGTGGAGTCCCTTTAAAGAAGGTAACACATTAAGAAAATACAACAGCAATCATATATATCTTATTTCCAATATGGCCTTCGTAGTCGTATAGCAGCCGCGAAACATCAGCAATATTCATAATTCATACGTGCTTGTTACTTAATGCACACGTGACCACAGGGATAAGACGCTTTGATCTGATACTATCCCCTACCTGACCCCCTCCTTCCAGTCCCTGTTACAACCCCCAAAAATATGTTCTTAAGTCAATCCACATGAAGTATTCATAACAACAATGATATGAGTATTCATAACAACAATGATATGACACAACGTTACACAATTTTCATTATACCTCTATAGTATTAGTTATCTATAGAAGGGTAGCAACTCTTGCGCCCTTCCAGTGCTTTGATTTTACCCAAGTTTATATTCAATGACATAACTCAGCCAAAACTCTATATATTTTAAAAACTCTCTCGATCAATAGAGTATAGATATATGATTGTATAAAATGACATCATCCATTTTAAGCAGTGTTAAGCAGTGTTAAGTATTTTGTTTCATACGGGCACTGAAACATCCGGTAACGTGAAATCCGACAAGATCTGATTCACTTCCCACGACTGAATCGCTAAAAAGATGCAACGTTGCGCAAGAAATGATCGGTGACACTCACCAAAGAAAATCCGGTCCAAATTTATTTTATACCGTAGCTACACAAACAAAATATAAAACGGGTATTTTCTTCGTCACTGCACACAAACTTTACCCGGAATACTCTTAATTTTATTGACGATCTTTTGAACGATAAAAGTAGAGTATTCCGGATAAGGCATTTGATATGGAGGCATGAGAGAAGAAGAAAATGTCCGTTTTGCATTTCTTCGTGTAGCTCTGTAACACCGCAAAACGTCCGTACCGCAAAACGTACGTTTATGGACGTTTTTCGGCGCATATCGTCCACATTTTTCGGACGTACATTTAGCGGCAAAAAGGCATGGTCCTGCCGCATAACGTCCATATTTCAAAGTTTATATAATTTTCGTTAATTTTGACCAGTTATTATCAGGTGTTATTGTGTGTTAATTTTAGCTCACCCGAGTATGCGCCTGTCTGTCTGGCCGTCTAAATTTAGCTTGTTACCACTCTAGCATCCACAGACCCTAAATATGTCCAAAGTTATCTGCCCTTGAATTACAATATCCGTTATATTTCACGTTGTTACCACTCCAACGGTTTCATTTCTTCTTCAATCTTGACAATTTTCAACAGAATAACTATGACCATAAAATCTCAACAAAGTTAGATTATAGGCTAAATCTAACAAAAAAAATATGACTAGGCGGTTAAAAGCACCCCCATCCCCACCCCGCCCCCGCGACAAATGCTCTCTTGCTCAATTATGACTAGGCGACTTAAAGGCCCCATCTCCATGACAATACAGCTCTCTCGCTCAAATATGACTACGCTGTCAAAAGCCCCCATCCATCCCCCGTTAAAATGAACGGTAGAACCAAACCTCCATAGTCAACAAGAACACAAAAACTCATTCCCACTTCTTGATGCAATTATATGAAAAGCTATTGTCAAAAGCAAAGCTTAATTTTAATATTTTTTGTCATTTACTCAGTCCAATCCCCAGTTCGTCCGTCCGTATAGCCGTCCTTTTCTGTATGTCTATAAGATTACATTTATTTTTAATATCATCGTTTTTATATCTCTGCTGCTGCTGCTTGGTTCCATTCCATAAAAAATCCATTCGAAAAACATCCTCGTCTCAAGCATATTTCTTTTTTTTTAAATAAAAAAAGTCAGAATTATATAGGATCACAAAAATATTGCACTTTAATGTTTATTTCGTCATATCTTTACCTGAAACAATATGAAAGTGACAGAACCAATAAAAGTAACGTTTATAATGAATATATTTTAATACAGAAAATATGGACGATATGCGACGCAAAGACACATTCTCGCCGCAAAACGTACCAAGTACGATATGAACCGCAAAACGTCCACATGTGTACGATATGCGACGCAAAACGTCCACACGCGTACGTTTTGCGGTACGAACGTTTTGCGGTGTTACATAGATAGCTCCGGTATAAAATAGTGTCATCGATAGTTTAGTTTTTACAGATGCACTGGTTTTGTATATACCTCGTAAGGAAGACCACCGAAATTTTTAAATTTAGCAATGAGGAGGCCCAGGGCACGACCAGCACTTTGTGCAACATATTTTACTGTAATATTATAATCTTAGAAGTCATCTAACACAATACTAATTATATAAGATACATGTACGTACAAGCATACTCAATTACTGGAATACCATCTTGTGATACAGCACGTTTATAACGTGGTTTTTCACTAGATAATTGTGGCGTTTATATCATTAGATTTTTAACAAGTTATTTGAACCTTTATAATACTGCACGTTTGTAACGTCATTTTTCATTGGATAATCGTGACGTTTATATAGTTTTATATACACGGCTGTTGTCGATTCATGAAGAAATCTTACTTTTATTCTCTAAAAATGATGCTTGCTGTATTATAAATGCGTTATAAAGATTGTTGACAGGTTATATGGCCGTATATAAACGGCTGTTTGCAATATAACCCTCGCCTAACGGCTCGGGTTATATTTACAAATAGCCGTTTATATAGGGTCATATAACCTGTCAACGATCTTTATAACTAAAAATATAAACGGTTGTTTTGAAATATAATAACCCAAGCCGAATCCATGAATTTGTGATGTTGAATCCGTGTATTTGTGAGTGAAAATGTCATTACCTATCTTTCGTTAAAACCTCGTCTAAGTGGCGCTTATGTATCATTTATTCACCTGTTAAATATTGAATGTTTTCCGGTGTGGTGTGAATTTTGTCAGACCCGTGAGAAACGGAATACTTTACGTTCTGCGCATGCGCAGGTAGTTATCGGACGGGGCCGTGAGAGATGTAAGACTGTCTGGTAGAATTGTGTGTAAACCTCGTTTAGAAGCTCATTAATAAAGTGTAGTTCTTCCTTTTATTCATGAGCATAGAGCTATTTTCTACGATATCTTCTTTCATTTATCTGTGACAACGTATCGTGTGGATGAAATATTGTCCAAATCAGTGGCAGTCTTTAGGCATCGTTCGTTGAGTTGATGGAAAATCCTGGAAAATCGAAGAGCTTTCATCGAGGTAAGCTTGTTTTGATATTTATATTAGAATGTGGTAGTTCCAAGCATCGATGAAAGTATGTTACTTTTTATGAATGCTTACAGGTACTGTAGGCTATGTCAGTCTGTTTTAAGAAATGGGCGGTATGTAGCTGAACCTATCGTTTCTTAATTTTGCTTTAGCCGACCAGCCAGTATATTATTGTATATACATGTTGACGATAGATCTGGGCTGCGTTTCATGGAGAGTCCTAAGTATTAGGTTTGTCTTAAGTTAAACTTAGGACTCTCCATGAAACGCAGGCCTGACATACAAAAGGTTGATAACGGGCTTTCTTAAACTGACTCTGATTGTCAGACACTTTTTCAGTGTTGACTTTTTATTGAAATTGCCTTTTTTTCCAAGTTTAACCCATTACTTCATATACACGCCTTTTAACGCCTTTTTCACCCCCCCCCCCTTTTTGTTGTCTCAAATGATGAAAAAATGCCTTATTTAGACCCCAAACACTTGTTTTTGTTTGAGAAATGTTGTTAAAAAAAGTGACCTCTTTTTCGGCGCGGCCCCCCAACCAAAAGATACATCAGGGGGTTGCCAGAAGGGGGATGTGCCCCCTTCTGTATGGGGGGTTTGAAGGGGGCGGAGTCCCCCTCATCGCCAAGAAAATTTTGGACTTGTGAGAGGCTGTAAATGACCCCAGATTGATAATAAGGTAACGTGTAACCAACGCTGAAAAGCATTTGACTCTATCTCAATCCATTGAGAAGTTGCAGCACTTTGAAATCAATTTTGATGGAAAAAATCAACGCAAAATAGTGATTTTTGGCAATTTTGAGATGTCCCCTCGTTGCCATGGTAACAGAAAATTTAAGTCTGAGCATGTTGTTGCAAGGGCAATGGTCCAGTCATCATTTGTGACAAGTTTGATTAGTGTTGAAGCAGTTTTTATAGTATTATAGCAATTTGAACTTGTAACGGAAGACTTTTCAATGAAAACAGCCATTTTTCACAAAATGCTCATGAAGTAATGGGTTAATGAAAAAAATAAAAAAATCTACAAAACAACAATTTTTCATCAAATTAATATGACAGGCCATGTTTAAACATGAAAAAACGCGATTTAGGGTAATTTCAAGTGTTTTCATCATTTTCTGTTAACCAATTACTTCATATACACGCCTTTTAACGCCTTTTTCACCCCCCCCCCCTTTTTGTTGTCTCAAATGATGAAAAAATGCCTTATTTAGACCCCAAACACTTGTTTTTGTTTGAGAAATGTTGTTAAAAAAAGTGACCTCTTTTTCGGCGCGGCCCCCCAACCAAAAGATACATCAGGGGGTTGCCAGAAGGGGGATGTGCCCCCTTCTGTATGGGAGGTTTGAAGGGGGGCGGAGTCCCCCTCATCGCCAAGAAAATTTTGGACTTGTGAGAGGCTGTAAATGACCCCAGATTGATCATAAGGTAACGTGTAACCAACGCTGAAAAGCATTTGACTCTATCTCAATCCATTGAGAAGTTGCAGCACTTTGAAATCAATTTTGATGGAAAAAATCAACGCAAAATAGTGATTTTTGGCAATTTTGAGATGTCCCCTCGTTGCCATGGTAACAGAAAATTCAAGTCTGAGCATGTTGTTGCAAGGGCAATGGTCCAGTCATCATTTGTGCCAAGTTTGATTAGTGTTGAAGCAGTTTTTATAGTATTATAGCAATTTGAACTTGTAACGGAAGACTTTTCAATGAAAACAGCCATTTTTCACAAAATGCTCATGAAGTAATGGGTTAATGTCAAATACACAGGTTAGTCATTACTCAGTGTAGCAATACCACGTGACTATGATGTCATTTTCGGCATCATTTCCAAGACAAATATTGCTCGATTCGGGAAAGAAAATAGCCGTAAATATTTTGTTTCTGTACCAATTTCTTTGGGATATGCACCAGTCTATGGGGAAAAATATAAGCTTTCCACAGAATATTGGATCTTCGTCAGTTTATTAGCCGTTTTATCAAACACTTTGCATAACCTTGGAAGTTGCTTGTATTAGAGCGGGCTTCAGTTGCAAGCTATTTCGTTTTCTGGCGTTATCTGGTCTACGCCATGATTAAAAAGTCAGGTTTACATCAACCGGGAGTACGGACGGCAAAACTCTACCTAAATATGTTCATATTTTTATTATGAATGACATAAATCTTACATTTTTCTTCAATTGTCAATTCTGGCACCAGTTCCAAGTCGGAAAAAAAGACTACAGTTTAAAGCAGATTTTAGAATCCGTTGCAAATGCAAAGCAACATGCCTACAGTTTCCTTTCTACAATTTAGTTTTTCATTGTTGATCTTTTACAGAGAGATTGTGAAAAAATGATTGTTCCTTAAAGTAATAACACTTACTGCACGTCAAATCACGTAGATTTAGTCGAAAAATAATATTTTGGTTTCGTTTTGAAGATGGTTAAAGTATTGCTCATCTTATCCTATTTGGTAAAATGTGTTTTATTCTATTTCAAAAAGGTCTAAAATAGCCATGAGTCGCCAATAAAGAACGAGAATGGACGCCATGTGGAGTAAACAAAATAGAAAATAGTAAAAAGATAAATGATTTTACAAACCAACAAACATCGATCATAGTCTTGAAACAAAACATTCTAAAAGACGGAAATAACAATGATTATCAATAATAATATAAATATTTACATTAACAGTAATAGCTGTAATAACAACACCGGCAAGATCTATGACTGGGGTCCATATGACACTGATGCGTCCATTGAATAATTGATAGCTAACATAAGCAAAATTACGATTGCATTTGAAGAGTATATTCAATTTTTACCCTTCAACTGTCAAATGACTTACTTCTTTATTTACGTATCATTTAATTCACTTATTTTGCATATGCATTATGTTTATCATGTTTTAAATTTTAATATGTAGTCCTTTTTTAAATCTTAAAATGCTACAAAAATCCTGTTGAGGACATCTGCAGGTCATGCCGCTTGCAATAATCCATGCATTTACAGCCAATGACCACATCGATAAGAAATAGTCCAAAATAGCCCTTTCGTTTTTATTCAGTTGAAAGAGACATAATTGTTAAAAAAGTCTACTCGATTTAAATGTTTTCAAACCATAAATATTCCGTATTGTATTGGTGAGCTCTCTGAGAAAGCTGGGTTGACTGATATAATTAAATTGTATCATAGTTTGGGGACCTTTCTGTTGAAAATGTGTCAGGGTTAAATCGTGTACATATACATGCACAGTGCGTTAACTGGAGTGCGGGTATTAGTTACCCGCAGTCCAGAGCATGCCCATTGATTGGCTCATTTTTGCTGGGGTTTACATATTGTGACGGCAGAGAAAGGGAAAGCGACAGAAATGTCATATTCAGATGTTCGTTCATTGGTTCATTTTGGCCGGGGTTTCATGTTGTGACAACAGGGAACGTGCTTTTATGTTTGACTATGATACAAAAGAGAAAGAACACCAAAACACTCGGCAATCTGATTAATACTCGGGGGCTACGCCCCCTCGTACAAATCAGATAGCCTCGTGTTTCGGTGCTCTTTCTATTACTTTTTGCATTTATTTCTGTTGATAAACTGCATACCTGACAATTAAGTAATAGAAAGTAAAAAAAAACCGACCAATCAGATGACGGTTGTTTACATTCGTCAAGATGGCGGTGTTTTATAGAAATTTCAACGGGGAAATATTTTGAAGCCGCAGGTGAGTTTATATCACATTGTCATTATAGGTTATTGGTATATTTTGATTACTTTTATGTATTTTAATTGCCCAGCATGATAAATGCTTGTGATATTATCTCCAACGATTGCAACAGTCGTGTAACTTTGTGTTTCCTGCGTAGCCACGATCGATGTCGACCTCGCGAAAATGAACAGTTTTTTGTTACTTTGACGGCCAGTACTCGTTAAGTATAAGAGATATAAGAAAAGTTTTACATTGGTTCGATAGATAAATCATTCGACTACAAATTGCATAATTCCTTTTTATTTATGCTGTATCGTGTAAAAAACTGCGAGGCAAAAACCCTGATTGGGCATAGACACCTTCTTATGGGAGTTGTTACCCTTGTCTATATATTAGTATATAGTGTAATGGGAATGGACTTAGGATAAATGTTTTCTACCATCAAATACATATTTTGTGAACATTCAATGAGCCGTACCCCTTTGAGTTTTATCTGCCGTTTATGTCCGTTTGAAATTAATTTTAAAACATGGCGCATGACATACATTTTTAATTTACAAACAATATGAGTTTTATGAAACTCGTTTCCAAATCTGATGCACCTAATAAACTTCCATAAAATGACAAATTTACCATACCTCGCTGAAGTGATCTGGCACGTCTGGCGTCAGCCATTTTGTCACAATCCGGAAATGAAACGGGGGTTACACGCGCATGCGCAAATCGGATATTTGCGCATGCGCGTGTGTAACCCCCGTTTAACGGGTCGGAAAACAAAAATCCAATTTCACTGGCGGGTGTGTGCTACACACACCGACCACACACATCGGTAGTACATCGATATTCCGAGGTTTACCTAGAATTTTCACAGAATGACCCTGATAGGATTTCTACGCGTTTGGCGAGGTTTACATACAGAGGTCATGAGAAATTACCTCGCTATGTGTGTGTACCACGGTGTGTTGGTGTGTTCTTCAACGAACAACCACGCGGGTATGGAGAACAAACGCACACGCACACGCTCACACGCACGCACACACACACACACAGTCTGTCATGATGCAATTGTTTTAATGACACAACCGAGTTTACCGTTTAGTGACATAGTCTTGAGCGTAAATATACATGTATCTTTAAGCGAGTTTACCTTTTAGTTGTATAGTCTTGATCGTAAATATGCACGTATCTTTAAGCGAATCCTTCCCAAAGTTTTGTTTTCTTTCAGACTAAGCGCCGAAATAAAAGGTGTACATTTCTTTGAAACAAAACCTGATTTACAAAGCAAACCCTGATTTGAAACAGAAAAGCCGATTTGGAGTCCAAAATCGGATAACAAATCTATACTGATGTAGCCTGTCTGTTTGTAACATAAAAACAATCATCAAACATCAATCAGTTTTGATTGACTATTTATCGGCTCATAAAATTCGAATTTGTGTAAGTTCAAGTCAATTCAATATTTCATTTGGCATTAAACTACATATAGCATGTAGCCATTATTACATTAAATAGGTAAAGTGTTAGACATTTTTACAATAAATTGTTCACAATACAGTACAAAATATTTTCAGAGTAGTTAAGATATACCTTTATATGTAGATTTAGCAATTAACAATAAGATATTTTTACAAATACAATCGTACAAAATGTTTTCAGATTTGATTTTACGCTATATTTCTTTATGTACATGTATATCTATACAAGTTAGTCAGAGTTTCCTACTTTTATTGAAAAATATAAATATCTTCAAAGATTTAAATCATTTAGTTCGTTTTCATTTCTAGATTTTCAATGATTTAAATTTAAAGCTAATTATACAATTTGATAAGAGTTTTTAATGATAGTGATAAATTTCTGATTAAGATTTATCATATAAAAAACGCTGCAAATGAAATATATATTAAAACTGCAGTTTTCATCTGTGATCAATCTTTGTCTATATCAATTATGATGCCTCCCATTTATTTTTTTTTTGGCTCCAGACAATACATCAGTGTGAGAGAGGACATATCTTCCCGCCAGTACAGCCGGTAAATTTTGCCATCATGATGTTTGGATCGAAATATACGTCAACCGACTGTATTTTGAGTTGATCGGTAACCTTAGCAACGCAACAACCATACATTTCTATAGTTTCCCCTGTTGCAGGTGTCTGTTTGTATTGACCTTCGAAGTTTCCCCAGTGTCGCCACGTGAAGGCTACTGTTGGAGGGCCTGTTAGGAAATTTTTAAAAAATGAAGTGACAATAGAAAAATTAATATGTTTATGTACAATTTAACACTGATCGGAACAAGCAAATAGTTGTAATTATTATAACCTATCACCCACCCACCCGAACTATGTGCATTGATAAGAAACCAGAAATCAGAAACGGAATATAGAATAAATGTTAAAGAAATTACCAGAGAATACGTCAAGGACCTCCCATGCAAACCCAGACTTGAAAACTCCTCTAAACAGATCCTGCGAAGAATCAAAGCTGTGCTTTCCGGCGTCATAGAGTGGGCAGTTACGGAGCATTAGGTTGTAGTTACCATCTTTTACATAATCATCTTTGGTGAATTTTTCTCCACCATTCACCCTGACGAAGAAGTTGTCCTGATCGACTGTTACCCAGTCCTTTAAAAATTAAAATAATATACATTTATTTCCTACCAACAATGAGTTCAAAGTAGCTGATCTGTTAAGACAGGCGATGGCTTAAAGAAAACGCTTTAAAAGGAGCATGCAATTTTATATCAGAGAGCATGGTTTCGCGAGCCCTGGAATAAGCTTAATTTAGAGCATTTGAGAATCGATTTAAAATAATTCAGAGGAGTTTATTCTTTTTAATTTAAATGCTTATGCACTTTTCGACATTTTACGAGCATCAAAATCATAAACATTTTTGCAATAGTGCTTATTTATTTACATGTAGTCATACGAACAAAACAGTTGTTCAAAACAGACCATTATATCTATTAAATCGGGTATAAAATGATTGTACAGTTATACTTACTTTTGGATCAAGTTTATTCCCTGTTTCCATCTCCCATGTTTTCACTAAATCCTCAACCACTTTTTCCAGCGACCCTTCTTTGTGTACTTTTGTCCTTTCCGCTAAAAACTTTTTGTTAACTACAGAGTAATCAGGGAGTCCATAGCGCCACTGGATTCCTGGTGAATCCATATAAAGACGCGCAGGGGTGTCTTGCAGATCTGTCTTGCTCTCCATCAGAAAAGATTATCACTATTAAAGGTCAGCCTCATTCAATGGAATGTGAAAGAAAAATATATAAAAAGTTTAATGATTGACGGAAAAACATTTAATGTAAACGTGATAAATAACGAAACTTTATGGTTCGGGGACTTTCTAATTGTAACTCTTTTTGATCCTACCCGAACTTTTTTTTTCTTTAAGCATTTGTTTTATAAGTAATGTTTAACGACGGTGAACATATTGTTGCTCAATTATTTTATTTTATACCATGTTTTTATTTGTTTTTCATTGTTGTTCCCTTTTGAGGACAAATGTACTGTACAATACATATACATGATTATATCTCAGTTATAGCAGGAGATACAGCCAAACAAATTAAAAAAAATTCAATTAACATTTAAAAAGACTTTTCATTAAGAGTAAGTACTATAACTACTTTTTTAAAATTTTCCCTATACACCGGTAATTAATATAAACGCTGTTTGGAATTACCAACTAATTCAAAATTGCCAACGGAATTTCCTGACCGCCACATTTAAATGTATGTTTATCTGTATCTGTATTTTAAGTGTAGAAAACAAACTTAAGGCTTGTCGACGTAATATTTAAAAAGCTATCTAATCAAAATTTTAAATCATAATAATTTATTGAGGATTGATATGATTTTAACGAAAATGTTTAATTTCTTTTCCCGCTTCATAGCTATGAAAACTGCAGTTCAACCTTTAGATTACAACATAATATGAGCCGCGTCATGACAAAACCAACAAAGTGCGTTTGCGACCAGCATGTATCCAGACCAGCCTGCGCATCCGCGAAGTCTGATCAGGGTCCATGCTGTTCGCTATCAGTTTCTCTACTTGTAATAGATTTGGTAAGCGAACAGCATGGATCCTGATCAGACTGCGCGGTCTGGTCTGGATCCATGCTGGTCGCAAACGCACTATGTTGGTTTTGTCGTGACGCGGCTCAATTATATAGATTGTTCAGAGGCATGTTGATTTTTGAACCGTAACCAACATATTTTATGATTTATATCTGAAATTCGATTATTTTTGTATTTGTATCATTAGTTAAATAAAAGAAAGTTTAAGCGAATATGATGTTACGATGTCAAAATGCGACCATTCGTTGTATTTTTGTTCTTTTTCCAACATTTTGTAGGTTTAAGTTTAGCGCTTAAGACGAGAAGGAAAATAATAATATGTTTATGTATATTTTCAGATTATTTTCTCATTTTTCAATATTTTGTACATATTTTCTTTGACGCTCTCCACATACTCTGACAAGGTTCCATTTTCAAAGCTATGTATTGATCACAGTTTGTATATTTGTATATATATAATATGGTGACTTATATGTCCAATGGGCCGGATATCATGGTATGTACATGTATATTCTTATCATGTATGTGAAATTGATATATGCACAATGTCACTATAATAAACAATTTACTTACTTACTCTGACAATGTGAAATGTTACTCTGTGACTGAAATTAAACTTTCTATAAGCGCAAACTATAATCTTTATTTTACTTCTGCCTTGGATATTTTATCGGGATCTCCAGTATCTATATTTATCTCACATAACAATATCACTTGTTTCAAGGGTAAGATTTTTATTGTACTTAGCATATTTCTTTCCTTGTAAATTGCCTTTAGTCTTAAACTTTATAAAATTGTCATGCAGAATGTGGAAAATCCAGGTATATATACTTTGCAAAAAATAAAATTTATATGATAATAAAATGATATTGAAATATAATATTGATGAAAATGATAATAATGAAAAATAAACAATAAAAAATAGAATATATACATGTATATGTATGGATTGGCTGAAGTTTTTGATGGACCGCAAATATACTTTTTTATTTTTCAGGTAAGTCTTATGTCCCACTGACATGCCAGGGGTAGAACCATTGGAAGCCCTTGGGTATTCATGAACTCCCTAATGCATTACCCCCGAGTATTTAAATAGGCTACAATTTTATGCCAACTGCATTGAACGGGAAGGCAGCTGAATAAAAGCACAACTTCCCAAATGATATCGCAGCAGTAATTGAGCCCAAGAGGAAATATCCTCGTTAATGAAGCGTTAGCACTACAGTAAACATTGTTATAAAGACTTGGAGGTTAAAATAATGTCCGTATTGACAAGTGGTCTGATGCTACAGCGGCAGTTGACAAGTTTTCTTTATCCGGTCTTAAACTGCAGTTTTTATCTGTGATCCATCTTTGTCTATATCAATTTTAATGCCTTCGTTTTAATTTTAGCGCTCCAGACAATACATCAGTGTGAGAGAGGACATATCTTCCCGCCAGTACAGCCGGTAAATGTTGCCATCATGATGTTTGGATCGAAATATACATCAACCGACTGTATTTTGAGTTGATCGGTAACCTTAGCAACGCAACAACCGAACATTTCTATAGTTTCCCCTGTTGCAGGTGTCTGTTTGTATTGACCTTCGAAGTTTCCCCAGTGTCGCCACGTGAAGGCTACTGTTGGCGGACCTGTTAGAACATTTAATAAAAAAATGAGTTGATAATAGAAAAATTAATATGTTTATGTACAATTTAACACTGATCGGAACAAGCAAATAGTTGTAATTATTATAACCTATCACCAACCCACCCCGAACTATGTGCATTGATAAGAAACCAGAAATCAGAAACGGAATATAGAATAAATGTTAAAGAAATTACCAGAGAATACGTCAAGGACCTCCCATGCAAACCCAGACTTGAAAACTCCTCTAAAAAGATCCTGCGAGGAATCAAAGCTGTGTTTGCCGGCATCATAGAGTGGGCAGTTACGGAGCATTAGGTTGTAGTTACCATCTTTTACATAATCATCTTTGGTGAATTTTTCTCCACCATTCACCCTGACGAAGAAGTTGTCCTGATCGACTGTTACCCAGTCCTTAAAAATAACATACATTTATTTCTTAACAGCAATGAGTGCGAAGTAGCTGACCTGTTAAGACAGGCGATGGCTTAAAGAAAACGCTTTTAAAGGAGCATGCAATTTTATATTAGAGAGCATGGATCGCGAGCCTTGGAATCAGCTTAATTTAGAGCATTTGAGAATCGATTTAAAATAATTCAGAGGAGTTGATTCTTTTAATTTAAGTGGTTATGCAGTGTTCGATCTTTACGAGCATCAAAATCATAAACACTTTTGCAAATAGTGCTTATATATTTACATGTAGTCATACGAACATAACAGTTGAAACAGACCATTATATCTATTAAATCGGGTATAAAATGATTGTACAGTTATACTTACTTTTGGATTAAGTTTATTCCCTGTTTCCATCTCCCATGTTTTCACTAAATCCTCAACCACTTTTTCCAGCGACCCTTCTTTGTGTACTTTTGTCCTTTCCGCTAAAAACTTTTTGTTAACTACAGAGTAATCAGGGAGTCCATAGCGCCATTCGATTCCTGGGGAATCCATATAAAGACGCGCAGGGATGTCTTGCAGATCTGTCTTGCTCTCCATCAGAAAAGATTATCACTATTAAAGGTCAGCCTCATTCAATGGAATGTGAAAGAAAAAATATATAAAAAGTTTAATGATTGACGCATAAACGTGATAAATAACAAAACTTTACGGTTCGGGGACTTTCTAATTGTAACTCTTTTTTATCCTACCCGAACCTTTTTTTCTTTACGCATTTGTTTTATTGGTAATGTATAACGACGGTGAACCTATAGTTTGTCAATTATTTTATTTTATACTATGTTTATATTTGTTTTTCATTGTTGTTTACGTTTGAGGACAAATGTAGTGTACTATATCTAAGGACATCTAACTTGAGGTGAATGAATATACATGTACATGTTTATATCTCAGTTATAGCAGGAGATACAGCCTGGCAAATTAAGAAAATTCAATTAACATTTCAAAAGACTTTCATTAAGTGTAAGTACTATAACTACTTTTTTTAAATTTCCCTATACACCGGTAATTAATTTAAACGCTGTTTGGAATTACCAACTAATTCAAAATTGCCAACGGAATTTCCTGACCGCCACATTTAAATATATGTTTATGAAACTTAAGGCTTGTCGACGTAATATTTAAAAAGCTATCTAATCAGAATTTTAAATCATAATAATTTATTGAGGATCGATATGATTTTAACGAAAAAGTTTAATGTCTTTCCCTTCTCTATTCGCTATGAATTGGGTTTACAACATAATATGAGCCGCGTCATGACAAAACCAACATAGTGCGTTTGCGACAAGCATGGATCCAGACCAGCCTGCGCAGGCTGGTCTGGATCCATGCTGGTCGCAAACGCACTATGTTGGTTTTGTCGTGACGCGGCTCAATTATATTGATTGTTCAGAGGCATGTTGATCTGTATTCTTTGAACCGTAACCAACATATTTTATGATTGATGTATGAAATACAATTATTTTTGTATTTGTATCAAAAGTTAAATAAAAGAAAGTTTAAGCGTTACGATTTCATAATGCGACCATTCGTTGTATTTTTGTTCTGTTTCCAACATTTTGTAGGTTTAAAATTAGCTGAAAAGAATAATATTTATGTATATTTTCAGATTATTTTTCATTTTTCAATATTTTGTACATATTTTCTTTGACGTTCTCCACATACTCTGACAAGTTTCCATTTTAAAATCTATGTATTGATCACAGTTTGATGGGCCGGGTGTCTTTGTATGTATGTGAAATTGATATATGTACAATGTCACTATAATAAACAATTTACTTACTTACTCTGACAATGTGAAATGTTACTTTGTGACTGAAATTAAACTTTCTATACTTTATTTTACTTCTGCCTTGGATATTTATTCGGGAACTCCAGTATCTATATTTATCTCACATACCTAATATTGCAAACAAAATCATTGTTTCAAGGGTATGATCATTATTGTACTTAGCATATTTCTTCCCTTGTAAATTACATTTAGTCTTAAACTTTATATAATTGCCATGCAGAATGTGGAAAATCCAGGTATAATTACATACTTTGCAAAAAATAAAAAATGATAATAAAATGATATTGAAATATAATATTGATGAAAAATTGATATTAATGAAGATGAAAAAAGACAATAAAAAATAAAATATATACATGTATATGTATGGACTGGTGGAAGTATTTGATGGACCGCAAATATACTTTTGATTCTTCAGGTAAGTTTTATGTCCCACTGACATGCCAGGGGTAGAACCATTAGAATCCCTTGGGTATTCATGAACACCCTAATGCATTACCCCCGAGTATTCAAATAGGCTAGAATTTATGCCAACTGCATTGAACGGGAAGGCAGCTGAATAAAAGCACAACTTCCCAAATGTTAAAATTATTAAGATTTCTCAGCAGTAATTGAGCACAAGAGGTATATACTCGTTATTGAAGCGTTAGCACTACAGTAAACTTAAGACTTGAAGGTTTAATGTCCGGTTTAATGTTCGAATTGACAAGTGGTCTGATGCTACAGCGGTTGACGAGTTTTCTTTATCCGGTCTTATTCGGATGTCCTTGGTAAAAAAATATGACTGATGACTCATTTTATGAACTGTTCATATTGCTCTAAGATGTTTTATTTATTAGTAACTTCAATTGTTCAAGTGTTGTTGTTTAATTGACAAAGCTAAAAAAGGAAAGAAAATTTACATGTTCTAAAATGATATCTTGACTATTAAGTTATAACCAGGCAAACATATGTCGGAGGCATCATTCAAAAAAATGTTGATTATACACGTAAAACTGCACGACACGTCACCAAGATTAACAACGTAGGTAACCCCCTTTGTCAGTAAATCATTAACGGTCAACACATTTCATTTAATGCTTACATTCAATGTTTTTTTCTGATCTTCTTCATTGTTACTACCATCATGTCTTATTTACACAAATATTATTGAATATAAAGCGCATAGAGAAAAAATGTTGAAATTTGTTTGGCCTTATAGGAAAGTCCAAATGTTTTAATAGTAATTTATGTCCTTTGATCTTCGAACACTTTTTTTTAATTTCCTAATTTTTTATAATTGAAATAAAGACAGCGGACCTTGAATTGTGATATATTTTCTAACTTAGCATCGGATATTCTTTTGATCAACTTTAAATTAGATGTAAGTTTTGATTTTTAAAACTATAAAGTATAAAAATGACATATATTGTTTATAGCATTTTGACATTGAATATAAATCAAAAGAATAATATATCAATGAAAATACATGTTGAATTAATAACTAAATAAATCAGTAATATATTGGTACAATAAAAATATATTTATTTGATGGTACAGAAGTGAATATGTTACTTTTAAATGTATGTAGATTAAATTGCATTGTACAAAGGCAATTTGTTTTTCTGATAACTATTTCGACTAATTTAAATTTCGGTTGAGGAATTATGCAATGGATGTTTGCAAAGTCATTTCTGATTAAATAAAAGCAATGTCAAATAAAAGTCAAATACATTGTACATTGTATTATACTTGTATTTTGATCAAATGCATTTTGACAGACATAGAATTCTTTTTTTTTTCGGACTAAAGTTTAATTGTATCATAAAAATCAGGGCATTTTTTTTCTATGGGACATAAGCAGGCCTCATTCCCATCCCAAAATAGCCGTTCTTCTTCTTTTAATTTCAAAAACAATTCCCCTAAAGCAGCACCCCTTCCAAAAAAAATATCAACAATAAAAAATTTAATAAAAAAAACAAAAAAACAAAACAAAAAAAAACCTCAATCAACTTTGTTTCTTGAAAGAATTGAATTATACTACCATCATTATACATGTTTAAAACGATAAAATAATATTATGTATAAGGCAATTTTATAACTCAATTTTCTCAAAATGTCGAATAATTTTCCCAAATACAGTGTATATGCCATATACAAAACAGGATACTAGATTTTTCTCAAGTAACAAGTTGCCAGGTAAATATTTCAAATAAACCGTTATCAAAGGATGTTTTCTTTTCAGATAATTGTTTTATTTTCAGCCAAGAGCCAATTCAAGTACCAAATATATTTTAAATGCATGATGGCCTAAACCAAAAAACGATCTCTCATATTTTGATATGCATGCAATATTCGTCTATTCTAAAGAGATTATTACAAATAGTCATGTAAATCTCAAATTTTATTTCTTGTGTAAACAAAATTTGTTTAGTATAAAGTCTGTTTCATATCAGGTTGAATTTGACATATTGAAAATTTGACAACACTTTGAAGGCGTAGTTTTAAAATATAAAAAGAAATGTACGAAAAACCGTTAAGGACATTTTGAATTTCATGAATTTATCAATACAACTACATGAATCGCGATTTCAACTTTCACCGTCACGATACTCGTATTTCCATTTCAACGTCATGAATTCAACTTCATTTTATTTTATTATTTTGAACTTGACGATACTCTAAATGAAACTGCCATTTCAAATCCACGAATTTACTACATGTATTTTAACTTCATGAATTCAACTTCATGAATTCACGATTTCGGCTTCTTGACTTCAATTCATGAAGCTGAGATTGCAAATTCGTGAAGTTGAAATCGTGGAACCATGAAGATGAAATTGTGAATTCATGAAGATGAAATAATGAATTCATAAAATCTACAACCGGTCTTTAGCAGATATCTGATTCCATTAGAATCATACTGAACTTACGATATTTTTACCTCTTTATTGGTCAAAATGTGTTATTGTTTAATATTCTTAACGTTTGCACAATGATTTTCTTGCGATTTTAGAGATTGCTTTTGCACAATGAATACAGGAAGTAGTATTCGTTCAGCTAAATATCTGAAACATTAATCCTCAGAAAAAAAACAATCATCTGTATAGAAAAGAGAAACATGTGTGGATTAAAAACATATGAAATAATAATCATCTGACGAAAATAGCTCCGAATAAGAAACAAGTTGTCACAAATGTGGCAAAATGAAGGTATTTGAGCCGCGTCACGACAAAACCAACGTAATGCGTCTGCGACCAGCATGGATCCAGACCAGCCTGCGCATCCGTGCAGTCTGATCAGGATCCATTCTGTTCGCTTACAAACCCTATAACAAGTAGAAAGAACTGATAGCTGATCAGACTGCGCGGATGCGCAGGCTGGTCTGGATCCATGCTGGTCGCAAACCCATTACGTTGGTTTTGTCGTGACGCGGCTCATTTTGACTTCCATAAAAATACTGAATCACTTTAAATGTACTTATTTCTAGAACGAAAAAGAAACTTAAGATAGCTCAACTATCTGACCAATGCGTTTGGAAACTATAACAGGTCAGCAAAAATAAAAAGTTTCAGATAAATAAAAAAATGACATTTTTAAGGTTGCATGGGCCTTTAAAGAAGCCTCGTTATAATCCTTAAGATTAATATCTGCAACATCAAATCTCGATAGTCTGTCTCATTTTTGCAACAGCTGCGTCGAAATATGTATCGAATATGTTCATGTTGTGCAGTTAATTATGTTGCGATTTACATAATAGCATTAATTTAGTTGTTTATATATTTATATATTATATATAGCGTCCTCATAAATCTGTTTTCTTCTTTTTGTGTGTTTGTGTGCGTGTGTGTGTATGTGTGTGTGTGTGTGTGTGTGTGGGGGGGGGGAGCATTGGTGAATACCTCACATTTTAATGCAATAATAAATTAATATTCGAACTTTTAATATACATGTACAATGTATTATATAGTTATACTGATAAGAGCGGCTTGTTATTCTATGGAATTATTAAATGATCTGCAGTACTCTCTGTTTAGTTATATTCTTATTTATTTTTTTGTCTGAAACTGATGAATGGTTTTGATATCAGATATTTAGCGTTATAAGTGTTAGTACTTAGGCCATTGTATCATAATTAAGCTGTGATAATTATTTTTTGAAGTAGAAATAATAAGATTGACCTGTGAATTTACTATAACATTTACTATGTATATGTTAGTGTTCATCCGTGCTGTTCTACAGAAATTAGAAACTTCGACGGGAGCGATAGCGACAGGAGAATGTTTCTAATTTCTGTAGAACAGCACGGATGAATACTAACATATTTAGTGTCAAGCTTTATTTGGCCTCATTATCATTCACTTTATAAGGTCACTGTGCGGTTTTATGAAGTACTATGAAAAATAGAACTCGACTATGGACGGAATTCGATATAGTATCGACTTTTGTACTTCTATGAAAATTAACGCACAGAATTTTGAAGAAATACAGCGTTTTCATTGGATGACAAATAAAGCTGGACACTAATTAATAAAAGTACCTATTTAATTATATAGTACATACATGTACTTTATTCCTTTTTTATCAGTTGGCAAATTTTATGAATCTATAAATATTGAGAACCTTCTCTGCCTCAATGTCGTTTTATTTAGTTTATATCAATTTATTTTAGTTCGATTGTGTTAAAAGCTCGAATCCGTTACTGGAACCAACAAGTAGTAGGCAATGAGCCAAGAGAAACAATGGCTTGCCGCTGTCGGGGTTTGAACCCATATGCGGCTAGCATTCCTTATATTACTAGACCGACGCGTTAACCACCCGGCCATGCCTCAACTATCTTGATACATGTACTTGAGGCCGCCCTGCTCTACGTATACAATATAGGAATGCTTCACGTTATTTTTTGCTTCTTCAAATATGTCTTTATACCTTTGCCAAAGTGATTCGCTACATACCACCAATGTATTGTCCATATTTCGATCTGCACAAAACCAACGAAAAATTTAAAATATGTATTGGCTGATTCACAAACAGTGCAACACATGACCAGACGAAACTGGTGCGCCCTATGATCTTGATCTGCACGGGAAACATGGGTAGTATCATGCAGTTGCCACGTGTCTCTTAGTGTACACTTCTTCGTTGTAATGCTCATACTCCGGGAGTTAGTTTTTGACATATTTGTTTGTTTATACTTATTTATTCTTTTGCGTTTTTATAACTCTTCATTATTCAAGTGCTAATAAATACTGATTTTCTATGATAAAAAATTGCATGTGTTATATTAGCTTAAGCACAATACCGTAAACTTTAAGGACAGCCTCCGTACATGTTTACAGTTGGGAATAACATTCAATGTATTTTTGCAAGTTAGGCTTTTATTAATTTGATTCAATTTGGGTTATGTATCACGGAAACATACTATTTATACGTTATTCATAGTATTGTTATTATCATTATTATTAGTAGTAATAGTTATAGTACATGAAACGAGTTAGTTACGAGGATATAACACTGGCTGGGGCGACATCAAGGGGTGTTTCTGCTAAAAAAATGGCGAGGCTGTAAGGCCGTGACAATTTTTTTTTTTCAGAAACATCCCGAGATGTCGCCCCAGCCAGTGTTATTCCCCCGTAACTAACGAGTTTCATATACTATAACTGTTTTATCGCAATAACATAATGTTTTCTTTTTTGTAATAGAAACAGATAAATAAATAAATAAATCGTTAGCTACATTACAGTTATTTATGATAAGGAAGTTTTTTCGCTGCCGCAAAAAAATATACAAAAGACATCCAATGTTAGAGGCGGATTGTAAATTGTTTCCAAGATTGATTCAAGATTAAAGGGCTTTTTTTCATGTACTATAACTATTACTTATTATTATTGTTATTATTATTATATCTATTTGAACGATATTGTACAAGTATAATAATACATAAATGCATACGTTTGTATACAGTTAACTTCTCTTTTTCAAATGCATCATAACTGTTTAGATATAAATAAATATAACAGAATAAAAAAGAAACTATCGGTATACCAAGAAACTAAAATATGAATATCTGAGTTTTCGGAAAAAAGATCGACCAATGTACGTGTATTATGCGTGTACGAAAAAAAAATAATTATTTACCTGCGTTCTTTCTGTTGGAAATTCCATTAAATGGCGTTCTATGTTTAACGTAATCATCACGTGATTAAATCACAGCAAAATGGTTCAAGAGTGAAACAGTTATATACTAGGCAAGTCTGTTTTTTTAGTTCTGTTTTAAACTGGAATAAAAGAAAGAAAATAAGGAATGTTAATTAATTAGTATAGAATGATTCTTTATATGACACAAATGTATTTTTCTTTTAACATTTGGCCAGCCACTTGTGCCCACCGCTGATTTTGTTCAAAGGAGTACATCAACTTTGAGTTTAGATCAGTTTACATTTATTCCGCTATTAAGAAATGTTTTAATTGTGAAACAAAAGTTTTTATCAGACTACTGCTGATGACATCATTTTGAACCGCGCCTAATACACATATAACCTTATAATAAAGGACTCAAAATATATAAATATGGGGACAATATAAGTTTTTCACTAACCAAAGGGTCGCGAAAAATGGGATTTTTTAAATACTTTGGACCGATCATATGTTGCACTGGAACCGATCTGCTATTGGACCATAAGGTCGATCTAAGTATGTAAGCTGCATAGTTAAGACACTATACAGTGTACTAGTTGTTTTTTTTTTTAAATGATATTAAAAATACAATAATTTTATCATTCAGACAATGTTTTGCCTATGTGGAATAAAGATATATATATATATAAACTTTATTAGACGCCGCGTGCACGCCGCGGCTAGTAGATATATTTGTATTTATGTATTTGCAATAGGTTGCTTTAAAGGATTCTATCCTTGTAAAATGGCCGCAAAATGGACATATTCTTGGTGCAACGGGAATAATTTACTGTAAAGAGAACAATGTATGGTTATAAATAATAATTATAACAATAGCAATTATCGAACTAAAATAAATTATATATATCAACAAAAAAGTGTGTTTTAAATTTCAATAGGATTTTTTTATTTTGATGTTTTGGAAGATTATATACATGCCTACGAAATGGACATATTCAGAATCTGCGCGCAACGGAGACAATTTTGTATAAACGCACAATGAATGTTTATAAATAGCAATAATCTAACTAAAACGTATTCTATATATTGACTGTAATATCTTTATGGAAGTGTTTTTTTTTTAAAATTCAATATGATTTATTTTTTATTTTTAATGTTTTGAAGGATTATACATGCCGGCAAAATGGACATATTCTCGGCGCAACGGAGATATTTTTATTTACCTCTGTGACTGCTCACTTTATTTGGCGGCGTCTTTGATGTGCAGCATCAACATTTTAGCCGCGCCTCTACAAAACCATCAGAGTGCGTTTGCGACCAGCATGGATCCAGACCAGCCTGCGCACCCGCACAGTCTGATCAGGATCCATGCTATTCGCCTACAAACCGTATTACAAGTAGAGGAACTAATTGTAAACAGCATGGATCCTGACCAGACTGCGCGGACGCGCAGGCTGGTCTGGATGCTGGTCGCAAACACACTATGTTGGTTTTGTAATGGCGCGGCTCATTTAATTCTTGTTTCCCATATTTAAGTGTATACATGGTATTGGGTGTGGAGTAAAATTTAGTTAAGTGTGTTATTTATGGAACATATAAACCCAGTGCAAATGTTGGTAATTTAGTTTTGGGAACCTTTTTTTATAATTAAATGAATTTCGTAGAAAATAAACCACAATTTTCCGAAATGCCAAAATGTGTCTTGTTGATACTCATTATTACTAAGCCTTCATTCATAGAAACGCACATAATCACAATCTAATAATAATAATAATAATAATAATAATTATTATTATAATTATTATTATTATTATTATTATTATTATGATAATGATGATAATGTTATGAGCAATGGACAAAGGAGAGTCTCAAAGACGGCATCTATTCTAAAACTATAGCTTAACCCTTCCTACAGGTCAATCGTTATTACTAGACTTCCATTAAAATTATTACAGGTAAATATGTCATGGTAAACATATCATTTTTACTTCCTTCCTTATAATCAACACGTATATATGGTCTGATAGTCTGATTTTATTGACCTGTCAATTATGAATACATTATAGGACTCATTTAAATATTCGATCCCACTTCGGTTTGGTCCGTGTAGCTTACGAGAATTAATGTGGAGTATATTAGTCATGGATTGAAAGTCACGCCAGCTTAATGTGAAAGTTTTCGTTAATTCACAATAGGACAGTCGGTAAAGAGAATGCCTGATAATTGAGAGGTTTGTGGTTCGATCCTTACTGTTGCCATTGTTTTAGTACTCTTTCTTTAATTTTGCAGTATATTTTAATGGAACAGATTTGTAGTGTGTTTTACGGCATTGAAAAGACATTTATTGATTTTCCGTTTTAATTTTAAACATGAATTCTTAACAAAAACCAGAAAAGCACTGCGCTTGTCTTGCTCACAACGAGGTTATGGTGCTCACAACGAGGATTAAAGCAAAAAAGGGTATATCTTCGTTTCTACGAAGCTTTTCAGATAATAATTTACGCTGAAGACTTGTGGGCATCTGTTTTAGGTTAGAATGCACAAAACGTCACCAGAATCGACGTTTTCAATGTTAAATTAGGTCCAAAGAGAAGTTGTCTCCAGTTTTCCAGCTACCCCGAGTGACTGCGTCGCACGGTATTTCCATCAAATTGTCCACCAACAGGCAATATCTTTACATGTGCATACTCGGAAAACACATCGCTAGCTAACTGCATTCCGATATTTTTACATAAATGTCTGTAATCTTCAAAAATTATGAAAAACTCACCTTGTTTATCGTGTCACTCGTCATAGATGGGTGCTCACAACGAGGAACGGAAGTTGCTCACAACATTTTTACCGATGGACATTTTTCACTCGTTGTGAGTTAAACGGACGTGCTACTGTTCAGAAAATACTGGTGCAATTTCATGAAAACTTTAGGGAATGATCAATACCTTGTCTAGTTGTGCATCTGATCAACATTTTTCGTTTCATTGATTATTGCCTTACATGATTTTAATTTTGATATTTGTCTCGAATATATACTCCTGTTATACCACGTACTTATTTTAATGCAATTTCAATGAAACTTTACAGGATTGATCGGTAGCTCAAGTTCTTGTGCATATTACACATGGTTTTAAGTTGAATGATTTTATTTCGAGTTATAGCTAACATTAGGCAGGGGCCCATAATAGGGGTCTGGGGGCTTAGCCGTTATAAACCCGAAAACAAGTTCAGATAAAAAAGATCAAAATGCGCGTTCCAAAGTATATTGAAGGAAAATTATCAAAACAATAATTTTAAACTATGAATTTGATTCGATGCAGGGGCGTCCATGGCCGAATGGTTAAGGTCGTTGACTTCAAACCACTTGCCCCTCACCGCTGTGAGCAGCTGCTGTGGGTTCGAATCCCGACAGGGACTTTGGATTCTTTCATGTGAGGAAGCTATCCAGTTAGCTTACGAAACGTCGGTGGTTCTTCTCAGGTGCCCGTTCGTGCCTGAAATAATGCACGGAAGGGCACCTGAGGTCTTCCTCCACCAGTAAAGCTGGAACGTCGCGATATGGCCTATACTGTGTCGATGTGACGTAAAACCCAAAAAACATAAAACAAACAAAGATTCGATGCAAACTTTACTAGATCAGGATGGTAAATCGATCATGCATACGCCTAAAACACACTTGATTAGACCTTACGACCTGAACCCACTACCAACCCCACCCCGCCTGTTTTTATTGGGACTTTTGAAAATGTCAATTCTTGACCAACTTGTAGGCCCGGGACTATACATGGCCAAATAGTAGCTACGCCAGTGCTGACTCACTGATCGCTTTTGTTATACGTATAAATTGCTTTTGAAAATCATCATTAACAATTAATACAACTAAATTTAAATTCTAGCAAAAATTATTACTATTTTGTTAACATTGATATCAATCGCATTTAAATTCTAGGTCCTTTCCGTCCAACTTTGTGTTCCGATTGAAAAATCTGCATTATCTCGGATGTCATACGGACTCGGAATTTAGCCATAGGTCAAAGTTCGTATAACAAATGATTATAATATACTATAATAGATCCTCTTTACAAGAAAAGAAAAATATAGCATATAAGCACAGCATGACTTGCGCATAAAAATATAGAAGCGCACGTGTACGGCGCAGTCTGAACACTGTGACAACTAATTACATGTAGTTGTTTTGGAAATTTAAACAACATCGTCAAAAGCTAAATTTGGGGCAAGCAAATGATCTTACAATAGAGTATTTAATCTTTGGTGGACATGCCAAAGGCGGATGGACCCTGCCTCAATATTAAGCCTAGAATCCATAGTAAGCCTAGAATCCATAGTAAAGTCCGATTAAGAAAAATCCGAACCTAAAGAGAAAGGGGTTTTTATATAGGTATCTGACAACCCCCCCCCCCCCAAAAACCCCCCCCCCCCCCCAAAAAAAAAAACAAAAAAAAACAAAAAACAAACAAAAAACAACACACACGCACAAAAAAAAATAAACAAAAAAACCCGGTAGGTTATGATGATTCTTTGATAAAAACCTCATAATTTTAGACAACACTTCTTTACAAGCACATTTGAAATCAATTCTATAATCACTGACATTCGCATTTTACAAATAATTAATGAAAAACCGGACGGCAACTCACTCTGTTTCTGTTTGTAAATACATATTGCAGGGCCTCAATGACCTATTTTTGCTGTTTTCCCCAACAATAATTTCAAAGAAGCAAATGGTGCATATTTTTGCGTTTAAAGTTTCTGGTTTCATTTAACTACTGAATTTAAGAATTTCTTAACAGCTGATACTTTATCAGCAAGCTAGATAATGCATTACGAAATTAAGTTGGAAATTCTATCATAAATTAGGTCAGAAGGCAGGGTATAATGTATCCCGTTTCAGTTGGTTTAAACATGAAATGGGAACCAGATAGGAGTAACCATCTATTTTTAGTAACATTGGAAATACCGCTGGAAAGTTGATAGAAATTTTCAGGTAACTGATTTAACCTTCATTTTAATTTAGAGGTTAAACATACTGCTTCTTATTTAAGAAAACTTCATTGATTTTTAATTAAGAGTTGTGAATAAGTTATTTAGTTATGAATTTTTATCTTTATTTTGACAAACGCGCACATTCATTGACCCACATTCATTCCGATCGTCATGACGTAAATGAGGCCCGTAAGGAAGTAGACGAACACAGATCTAAATGCCTTGGATCGACGATGATCCTTATTTATCAAATAGAAGATTATCTCAGTCATATTGTAATCCTATCACTTACACATGTCTATTTTTGATAAAGCAGCCATACTATATCATTTCATTATTTTAAATCACATGCTCTTTTCGTTTTAAATAAACATTCATTTCATTACGTCCAGCAGTGATTCCGTCCAATGTAATAGATAGAGTCTATAGTTATAGCAACTCTGACTTTGATCTGCTTAATCATAGTTTTAAATCTAACTTTTCTTCTTTTATAAAGAATAACTTGAAGACAAATATCATATTAAATGTGTCGTTATTTGGAAATTATCTAATATACCAACAGATTTTTCAAAACCGAAAGTAGGAAAAACCACGCGGATATTTATAATACATTCGGAAGTTTCCGAAGTTTCTATTTTCCGTGAAATTTCTTTAGAAAATGCCGGTAATATATGATATATATGCACGTGTTTTGTGGTTGAAAATATTAAATATTTATTTCTATATCTATAACGTGAATGGAGATTTTCATTCAATAGTAAGCAAAATGAAATACGTAAAGGAAATTAATTCCACTAAGGGGGAATCTATAGATCACGACTTGAATATGGTAAAATATTTAATCTATTTATTCAATCTTAAATGTATTGAAGGCAATTTCGTTAATAATCAACACAGTAGTGTGTAAATAGGTTAATACTTGTAAACATGGTGAATAAATTATATATCTCTCATAATAATAAATTAATATTAATTGATTCACATCTACAAAATTAAAATGAGCCTAATGCATACGTTGCATAACCCAACTAATTGATTTTAAACTTTTTTTTAACATTATTGCTTTTTTTCAGTTATTTTCATATAAGATCAATTTTTATAACTCGTTATATACAATATGGACAAGACTACATTAATTAGCTCCCTTGCGAAATCTAATATCGGTGTTTATTACGTATTTATAGATAACTTTATTGCAAGTGATACAATAATGTATGTGAAATTCACGCTATCTTTGTCAACATGTTCGTAACTCAATATTAAACTATGTAATATATGTTAAACTGATTATTTCAAATCCTATACTGAAGGAAACAAAATAGATTAAACTGTTCACCTTCAAGAAATTTGCATTTTGTGATTGTATATACATGTATGTATGTATGAATGAATGTATTATGTAATTGACTATGTACTTTGTATACGTCAAAATAAACTTTCTGTTCTGTTCTGTTCTTTATATTCACATAACAATTTATTTCAAACCACCAACTTTGCTCAATAGGGAGAGCATTACCTTATTTGAATTAGTAATCCAAGGTCGCTGGTTCAATCCTTAGTCGTTTCTACAACTGATATTAGATATGGACTCATTGAGTTTATTGGGAAATCGAGATATGACAGAAATCATGATGAAAATGTGATAAAATCATGATGAAAATGTGATAAAACCGACGTAAAGTCAGATAATCAAACACACATCTGTTTTTCCTGAATTTCATGACCGTATACAAGATTTTGGCAAACATTGTTTTCTATTTAATTGCGGAATTTAAGCCTTGGTCTTAGCCTAACCTCTTCAAAGCCAAAACAATCAAAATATATTTAAAATTGGTATTAAGATATCTTAATCCAAATATTAAGAAACGCACTGAAGCAATAATTAATTACCTGTTTGGAAATTCAATATTATATATTAAAGTAAGAATTATTCTGTGCGAAATGAATATTATATATGGGGTCCAAAACAATATTTTCAACATGCATTCAATATCACATGCAAGTAGACTGATACATGGGATTTTATGCAGTCTATTTTGTGGAATATTTTTGACATAATTATTTCCACTTTTCAGCTAATAACCTTCTAAAGAAAGTTGACATATGTTAGTCTATATTACTTTGTATTTTGAGTTTGTTAAAATTGATATAATAAACAATATTGATATTCATATTCTGTGTTACAGGGTAAGACATTTTGTATTGTACTAAAATTAATTTGTAATTTATTTTGACTTTCAGTGCAAGCTAGTATCTCTATATTTCGACAAGTTAAACAAAGTAGTTAACACAGACATAGTCGCAAAAATTTGGATGGCAAACCCAAGTGATCCTGAAACCTCTGAAGGTAATTAGAAATAATTCTTTTGATTTATTCATTGCAAGACTAAATGATATTCAAAGCTGTGCATTTAGATCATGCAATGTTTTTTCCCCAAGAAGTAATACAGTCGAAATAGGGTCCCATTCACAATGCCATAAAGTATCTTTTATTTTCAAATATGTTCGATAAACTCACAATGGTCAAATTGAAATTGTTGACAAAATTGTCAAACTTTAAACTAATGGAGTGTTAATCATGAATCACAGCATTTTCCAATACATTATTTAAACTTCTTATTCATTTAGTAGTAAATTTAAACAGCATAATCCTAACATATAGGACTATGTGGACAAATAATGGCGTTAATGCCCTGTCACAATTTAAATGAACCGGGTCCACTTCACAAAAGACTGGAACAAAATTTGCTTCCTCAAATAACATATATTTGCTAAAATGATTTCAATACATGTATTTTGGGTTTAATACGTAGAATTTTAGAACTGTAATTATTTGTCATATTATTTGCTATTTAGACAAAGGATCGAGCGGAGATAAACAAAAAGCAAATAATAAACCATCAGCAAATGGACATAAAGCTATGGATTCAACAGATGATACAGACGATTCTGAATTATCTGATAATGATTTAAAATCCAACTACACCCAAGCACACGCTGGTGATATTTCAGACCAAGAGAGACCGCTCAGTGTCGTTGAGAACGACGGGAATAAATCCTATCACTCCTTGTCTTCTACAGACCTCAGTATAGACGCACGCGCTTGCAGACTGCCAAGGCAACATAAATCTAAAGATGCTTTGTCAGAAAAAGAGAAACGGGATAAAAAGTCTGATCCAGCAGATGATGTTATTGAACATACACAATTTGTTGAAGAGAAAAAGAAAAAAGGGAAAGCTGATATGGCAGGAAATGATAATGCAAGCAGCTCACTGGATATAGAAAATTTTATAAAACAATTGGTAAAACCAAAGGTTACTCTCATTAATTTTTTTGATGCTGCTATTGTCTATGATAAAAATGACTATGACAATGTAACAGAATTTCAGCAAAAACTAGTCAATCTTGCAAAATCTGAACTAAATGAAGACTTAAGAATAGAACTGTTTGACAGTGAAGAATTTTCTCAGTCCAAAATCATGGTCGTTGAAGATGTTTTGAAGAAATGTAGCATAGTCTTTGCTTATCTCACTTCTAATTTCACTTCGGCAGAACTTATCCTTTTTATTGAGGAAGCAATTGGTATTTCAAGATTTGGGTTGGGAACTGAACAGGGTGGATGTCAAAATCCGTGGATTTTGAAACCTGTCCATACTATGCCTCGTAAATTAAGAAACTATAAAACACCAGTTGGGTTATTAACGGTAAACGGTATTGACTGGTTTGATAAACATTCTTTACATACAATAAAAAATATTATAGAAATACTTCGAACCGCTATAACACAGCGAAAACAACGATCGATGGAGAGTAGTACGTCTATTAATTATACTTCAATGTTTGGCGAAACGAGAGAAATGCCACATCTTGGGCCACCTTTCAACATACCGCATGGATCACAAAGATTTCCACAAGTTCAAACCCATCATCGGAATGATCCTCATAGATCTCACGTTTCACAAGATAAAATGCCGATACCACTAAGTTCTTTATCGCCTCAGCCGATGCGAAATTATACAGCAGACATTCGGACTGACACACAACCAAGTTATTTCCCTAGCTTCCAGAACACTTCTTATGCTAATGTAGGACAATCTCATTTACATCAGTATGATAGCAATATGTATCTTCCAGCAGACAATTGGACACATGTGGGATTTGAACGAAATACATATGACCAGCCTCCTCCGTCTTACAATTCGATAATGCAGCATGAACAATTCAGACAACCTTTTATAAGTGAACGACAGGCCGGACGTACTATTTCAACACCTGAATTCGTTCAACAATCAAAAGATCAGTTTACTCAAAGAGCGCATTCTTATTGGCCTCCTGAACAACTGACAAATTATCATGCAGCAACAATGCCGCAGTTACAAACTTCTGTCCATCCAATATCGGGTATTCCACAAGGACCTGTCTATCCACCACAATTAGATATTGATTTTCAAAGACAGAGCTCAAATGATCAATATTCAAGTATGTACCGACATTTGAGTCAAGATGCATTACCTAACCAATCAGGAAACATCAGGATACCTGACCAACACGATTATACAGTACCGTCCTCGAGAGTTGACACTCTCTCTCAGATATCAGGGGATCTCGCTACTAAAACAAATCTTTCTTGTGATGACGACGTTGAGGTTGATAACAGCACAATGGTTAGTAGTGATGACGATAGCAGAACAAAACATTTCAAGAACGAAGATAAATATAATGGTAAGTTAATGCACCGACATATTCAGTATGACTCAGTTTATTTTTTCATTAAATCTTTAGTTTTTGTCAGTATTTTGATTAGTGTCGTTTAAATCATGATACAAAAAGAAAAAAGTACTTTGATAGTAGTCCTTTGATAAAGATATTCAGACAGTAATGAAAGATGAGTTGCTATGGATGAATAACACGTTTTAATTTTTAATTAGCAATTTTTCATTTATTAAAAAAGTTATTTACAAATCTTTCAGAATCGGAGGAAAGTTCATCGGAGTCTGATTGCTCCAGTGATAGCGATAGTGAATGTTTTGGAGGAGCTAAAGTTGTAGAAAAAGTTGTCAAGATATACAAGTGTAAAAATGTTCAACTAGGTGAAGGAAACACAGTAAAGGAGGTCGAAAGACAAGAACAGCCAATAGATAACAAATTGAAGAGGAAACAAATACAGGAAAATAGGTACACTTGTTAACAGATATTTTTATTGGTAAACTAGGTAATGGAAGAAGCGTTTATTAACATAACATAAAATGTTATGTATATTAAAGTTAACAATATTGACAGTAGTGATAACAGATCTGTTATTGATGATATATTTACAAAATCGGTTTTGAGGTAAATTTGTAAAATGAAAACAACATAAATATTTAAAAATGTCTGCTTAAGGTTTCAAATATAAAATGTTCATTTTTAGTATTGTCTATCTTTTTGTAGAAGTGTCGCTTATTTGCATTTAATTTATTATACATTCGTTGCCTTTATTTCAAGATACGGTTTGAATTTCACAATATAGATAAAACCTCCTTCAGTTTTTTGGTGAACTTTAATGTTTCTCACCTAAAAAATGTGTTATTTAGAATTACAATGTATGTTTTTGTTACATTATAGAAAGAGTAACCAGCCTATTCCTACTACTCCTGAAAGAACGGTCTCGACAGAACACCCGCAAAACTGTTTATCAAAATCAGAGATGAACATATCTGTTTCGGAAGACAACATGTCCGCGGAAGGTGCCCTGTCTGGAAGATCTACTGACAACGAGGAACACACTTTTTCATCAGATAGGACAAAATGTTTTGAAAATACTGCAAACACGAGTCATGCTTCTTTTGCAAGCCAGGGAACGTGTGTACAGAAAACTAAACCTGTTTTAAAACTTTCAGTGAAGACTGAGGACAGAAATCTTGATAGGTCAACTAATTTTAATAATGTTTTTTCACCGGATAATAATATAACGGAAGATCAGCTGTTTGGAAGTGGTTCTATTCCACCAACAGTTTCCTCTACTACAGAGACAGCACCTTTTTGTTTCAGTCAAGGGATTCAACAAACTAGGAATATAAGAACTCTTTTACAACCTTTGAGTATTGACAGAAAAACTAGTTCTAAAAACACTTTTGATAACAACACAGGTGTTAACACTGAAGAAGTTGACTAGCAATCGCTCAAAAGTTTTACTTTTTATATTTATAAAGTGAATTTATTTCATAATAAAGTGTTTTTTTTCTAATATTTGTCTGATAAGCAGATGTCAAATATTGATATAATTGCTTTAATCACGGGTTTTATGTAAGATTTAAATGTACTCGGATGTATACTTTTATACTTACTTGATTTTATAGGTATTATCTGTATTTTTAAAATGATAACGATGATGATAATTTTGAAATGATATAAAACAAATATATTAGTCACTTGTTATTTGTATTGTATAAGACTCAATATTATAAGAAAAAACGATCTCACATTTTGATTAATATTGTGATTAACAAAATATTGTTTATCTTAATCAAGCAGTAATGACTCAAACAGTAATGTCATTTCTGATTATTTACTAATAATTTCTAGTGTTTAGGTATTATTCTTAATATTTCAAATACATGATTTAACAAATAAAAAGTGAAACATATTGCTTTTAAGTTATAGATTATTTCATTATGTTGTTTAGTTTTCATTTAGCATATTAAGTACGAAAAAACAATGTAACATGACCAGTTTTCTGACCCGAATATTGTATTTCACTATTGTATATTTATCAGAACTGAAAATAACAGCCATGAAAAAAAGAATTAGATATACTTGAACAAGTTTGTACTCACTGTTCTATCATAAAACTATAATTTATTGGTTCACTTCAAAACTTTGATTGCATTTTTTGCAATGGCAGAGTAAATAAATGTATGTTAAATATCCATTCTAAATGATTATATAGACACACATGATAGCTATATTCAATGTATACAGTTGTTTAGTTGCACTCAGATTTGATAAAGTACATTGTACATGTAATTAAACCGATATTTCGCGCTATATAAGCGCATTTTATCTTTTAATTATTGAAAATAGAAGATAGAAATACCATCAAATAGATGAAAAAAGGTCATTTCCTGCCTTATTTTGTACTTCAAATACATGTAGGTATTTATTTTAGACCGTATTATAGATATTGTGCTAAATTGTATACCACATCTTACTCGTATACTACAGTCTTGAAAAGGTATCCGGAATGTTATATGGACAAATAAGTCACGTCACGGCATGATCCATACTACATTGTCAAAATTATCGTTAACGCAGCTAGGTGGTTCTATTGAAAAGTCCTGTAAAAGCTATTTGTGTATAGGGACAGTGCTCAAGATGAAATGTTTATAGTATTATTGTAACGTTAACAAGACAAAAATAGTGCGGTAATAATAATAATCTTGGCAATAACTAGTACATAAGGGGCCAACGTGACCAGGGGTTAAGGTCGTCGTCGTAACCACTGTTGGTTCAAATCCCGCCAGGGACTTTGGACTTTCTCAGCCGAATAGGCTATCCAGCTAGCATACGGAAGGTCGGGGTCCCGCTCGTGCCCGAAATAATGCACGAAGGAGTACCAGATGTTTATGCCTTCCTTCACCAGTAAAGCTCGAGAGTCGTCATATGACCTTAACCGTGCCGTTGTGACTTAATAAGAAGCAGAAAAATACAAACTAGAAAATGAATATGGTGAAACATGTAAAATTCGAACTCTAAGGAAGACATGAACGAGTCTTCACTTTCTAAAATGTAAATTATATTGTCAAAAGTATCATCCGGCCGAATTTTTCAACAGTTACACATCCATAATTATATAGAGTGAATTTGACTGCGCTTCACTGCATAGTGTCAATGTCTAATGGTTATGGCAACAATTCCTACAGTTTTGCAGTTTTCACTCAAGTTTTGCACTTCCCTTCGTGATAAGAATTCTTTGGACATCTCTACAGCTTCGACCCTCTTCGACACAATAACAATTAACATGCGTACTAGTAGATTATCTGCTTCACTGTATAGTCCATTGAGAATGAAGTAAACTAGATACTGACCACACATCATTTGCATGCTTTTCATTTTGCAGCAGCAGCTATTTTCAATGACAGACACAGTGCTGAAAACACTCTTCCAATGACGTTACTTTGGGGAAAAAACTTCATGATGATGAGTTAATTGTCGTATTTATTCGTATGTTTAGCACATTCCAGATCGAATATATCTACCTTTACCAAAAAAAATTATTAAAATCATGTACCTTTTTTTTATATTATGGACATCATAGTGAAGCGTCTTAGCATAAGAAAAACACTTTCCACAGTGGAAATGAAAAGTCCGACATTGTGAAAGAAGATGCTTTACTGGTAACGCCTTTGGCTACAATCTAGCCTTTTAAACGATTCTTCAACTTTTAACCTTTGTACCCTTTTGGACACACTTTAACCACATTCAAACGTAAAATGGGTGCTGCAGCACTTCTGGTAAATAACATCGACAGAAAGAACTATTGACGTAACGCATACAGCGCTATCATAAGGTAAAACACGCGTTTCCGCCTGCTTCTGTTAGTGAGACGGTATTTTAATTATGGTTCTGTACCCAATTAATTTAACCATTTCAGTGATATGAAAAAAGTATTAAAAAAACACATACACAAAAAAAAAACCTGTTAAATTCGAATGTTCAAAATAACTAATTACTTAACGTACTTAACGTATAAGAACAAAAGAAATCTTTCTAGTCACTAAGAAACTGCAGTTTTCTTAAATTGTTGCGGACAATCGCTTATCATTATATATATAATTTATTCACCTTTGGGACTTTTTGAGGCTGTATGACAAGACGGTACTGACAATAATTTTCGAGATTAATATTCAATTTGGTGTTGGTATAGACCAATTACTTGTCTGCAAAATTTCAGATCATTCGCTCACTCCTTTTTTCCAAATAATTATTTTGATTCTGAAACATTATCCAAAATTTAAAAGCGTTGCAACGCATTTCTCTCAACTCGGGCTAAGACAGAACCAAAATACGATTTTAAATTTATTTCTGAATATATATCATCTTTTGCATATATTTCTGTTTCAAGTGCCCTAGCTGATCTTTGTAAGAAATTTAAATTTTATTATTTTAGGCTTTAGAATCTCAGACATGTCAGTTGAGTTCCTTTAACATAACCAAACGCTTCGAAATGGATCTATTTCATTTGATATACATGTATAAGCTACCCAATACACCAGCAATCAATGTTGACAATGGAATATATGATTTCAGCTTTACATTTCATAACACGTGATAATGTCCTTGGTGATAAATGTAGCAATTTTTTCTCAAAATGTTAATATCTTACGAACCCCATAACTACCAAATCAACTTTCAAAAGCCCTGTGAGTGTGCATAAACGGCTATAAAATCTGCTGAACAGTTGAACGGATCAGATAAAAATATACAACTTGGCAAAGTATAGAAAAACAACAAAAAAGAACCTTAACATATCATCAAGCACCAAGAACCTCCCATTCCATACTTCCTAAAAAAGTAAAAAACACACCGTCAATTGAACAATCAACAACAACAAACAAAAACGAACAAAAAAAAAAAAACAATGAGGACAAATCTAATGTACAGTAAGTTTTATAGCAAACAATCCTACCCATAAAAACGTTTTTTTTTTTTATCTTGGTAAACATTATTTATCAATGGTGTCCCATCCTGTAAATTTTTCAAGTATAGGAGGAATAACTCAGGCAAGTTTATAACTGTACCATATATAATGTTATCTTCCTTGTAAACATTTAACCGCCCTAAAATGTAGTGGAAACCTCAATTTCCAATATCAAAATCATCAAAAATTGCTTTTGAAATTAATAAGAATGGTTCTAATATAGGCATTAATTAAAGAAATGGCAGGTCACGTAAAAATACGCGAAAATATCAGACGTCATAAAAAATATATCTAAATATAGTAACAGTGGAAATACCATACAGGCAAACTTGGATTTTCTTCTAAGGTAACCATTTTCTAGAACAATATATCTAAATTAACAGTAAATGATACGTGTAAACAAATGAAATAATAAAAAAAATATTTTCACAAACATTCGCTATATTTTTTAGGGTTTTAAATTGTTAAACTATCTGATAAACAGTATAATTTAAAACAAACAAAAAAAACGAGGCCCGTGCGTGGCAACGACAACTCGACTTTATAATTTGGTCATCTGTTTCGTAAAAGGGGCATATCAAAGCCGTAATCATTAAAAGTTTAAATTTAAATCAAATGTAACCGAAGTCTTTTTTTTAGTAAGATGTTTTACAATGTAGTTATTCTACTTTTTGATTTTGAAATCGAAAGAGGAAGATGAAAACAGTGGGCTACCTAGCTATATAACTATGACGTAAATGGAATTGTTAAATAATTTTCAAAAGGAAAGCTCTGACAAAACGCATAAAAAAGATTAAGTAGGCAATTATTTTAAAATTTTACTTTTTAAATAGGTTTTCATTCTCTACAGTACAGTTTTATTATGTTCTAAATTTGTTTTAAGTACTTTTATTTTCTATTTTTGACTGGTAATTATTACCAAAATGAAACATTAAAACGAATTCTTAAAAATCTCTTTTTTTGTCATATATACTGTCACAAATATTTTGTAAGAGATATAAATGACTCCATTTCTATGATAAATTATAACAAAAAGTGTTTATTTTATATAAAAAAAGTTACATATGTTCGTAAAACACTAGTTTCTGACCTTGTCCTAAATGAAAGGTACGGGTAATTGTCCTAAATTGTTTATAATCAATATTACACAAACTTGATCCGGGGTCAAAATTCAATAAATATCTTGTGCAGAGGTACATGTTTGTTCCAGTATGGAGAATACAGTTTATTCACTATAGATATTAATTGTTGCTAGGAATAATTAATGCACAGAAACAAAAACAAAACAACAGTCACTGATCTCAACTGGTACGGGGACTTGATAAAGCGTTATGTTAATTATCAGTTTAAAGAATAATATTTTTGGAGAGGAAAACTTAGGACGATGTTCTTTAAAAGCCCATTATGCCTAAGAAATGCTTTAATTTTTTCTCAAAAAAAGGTTGGTGTCTTCTTATAGTTTTTGAAAAACTACTCATTGGCCAGTTACCAGAACCATCTTTTGCCTCTGTTACCTTTAGCAATAAATACAGTTATAGTGATTTAGTATTTTGTATGGAAGTCAAAATACTACTTTGTTTACACTTTGCTATTTTATGACATATAATTTCACTTTATGCGCTATTTTGCTCAAGTGATAAACATTTAACATTTTCCAAACCCATTTTTAAATGTTATAATAGTATAGTATAATGTTATAATAATATAATAATTTTGGCTTTTCTATAGAAGGTAAAAATTATCCCTTTCTGAGCCATAATGTGCCTTTGAAGTTTTAAAAATGTATTCTCAATCCGTTTAACATCAATAATTTATCAGATATCAATGTTAAACATTCATCATGTGACAACAATAAGATACAGTTCATAGTGAGATGATGTATAGAAAGCAACAACTTTTTTCCGCTTTTATATTTTATTTTCTTTCGATATAATTATCCATAAACAACAGAAATGGAGAAATATCAAATATCGGTAATAGATAATGTACAGATATTGATAATGAAACTGCGTCATGACTGAATCACGTGCATTTGAACTTTAAGCGTTCGCTAAAACCACAACGGAAAACACATTATATATTTACCTTGTATTATTTCACATGGAAATTATTTCTGTAAGTGTTGTCCCTGAAACAAATGAAATAAGCTTAAAAATAATGCTATTATCAGTTTTCCTAGTAAAACACAATTAAATGTTTAGAGTGCACATAGTTAGAGCCATTAAACACTTAACAATGTGATATTCATAATATTTAATATTTCTAGACTTTAGGAAGAACCAGGCAAGATGATCTCATTGTTCAAGATGTTGATGTTCAATGTCGTTTTAGCACGACCAACAGAATCTGCCTCATCTAAAGAAAGTATGATCACTTTATTTGAAATACTTAAATAAAAGAAATCATCATTTTTTTTGTAAACTGAATGTTGCATTTATGATTAACAAATGAAGCTGTTGTAAGACATTATACTGATTTATTAATAAAACATGATGTATAATTTCAAGTCAGAAGTATGCTTCTGTAACAGTATGACATATTTATTTCAAAAGAAACAGGTTAGAAACACCGGCTTTCTAATGGCCTTCTCTTAATCTTATGCCGATCACATGTGTAAAACATTTGCATGGAGAAATCTATTTGTACTTTTTCCATGGTAAATAACACAAACGCATGCTATATCAGTAAATGAGACGGACTTTTTGGACAAACTCCAAAATACTTTATCTCTATCACACTTTAAAATGTACATGTATTTATAATAATTTACAATGTAAATTTGCCATATGTCTATATATACACACATCCACGGAGAGATAAAATATCTGGTATGATAATCACAAAGCAAATAGTATATTAAACATAATAGCAACATGCACAACAGATTAATAGTTATGCATAAAATTATTTCATTTTGTCTTTCAAATTACATCAAATACAGCTGATACAAATGAGGACACAGAGGAAGATTCTGGACCAAGTTCTGCAGAGGAATGTGGCACAAATAATGTGTCAACAAAGAAAGTAGATTCTAAATATATCCACGTAGAAAACGCTTCAAATACTGATCAGTATAGCTCAATGTTAAAAGGTTTAGATATCAGTAACGAAGACAGTCACTTATCTAAATACGACAGCCCTAGGCCACCTGAAGCTGATGAATTTGCACAATGTGATTCAAAACGTCATGAATGTGTCGACAAACCAAATGAACAGGCATTTACATTATCTTTAGATCGCCATCCCTCTGAATTCAACAGCTATATCAACAGTCAGTGGATGCCAGTATCAAGAGGGTTGACACCCTATCCAACTTTATCGACAGATGATTTGACATTGGATGCGAGGGCATGTGCTCTCCCAAGAAGAAGAAAGAAAACAACTGCAAAAACTAAAGTTGATGAATCAAAAGATTATGGAAATACAAAAGATAAAGCCAAAGAGGACAATACTGAAACGACAGAAGGCGGAGTTAGAGAGCAAGACTCCATTGAAGATTTCATTAAAGGCCTGGTCGCCACGCAAATCCCGTCGAAACCAAATGTATTATTTTTCGATGCAGCAATTGTTTATGAAAAGGAAGATTATATTGAAGCTTTGAATTTCAAAGAGGAAACACTGATGATAGTGAAATCAGAATACAATGAGGAAATACGGATTGAACTTTTTGACAGTGAAGCGTTTGCTCAGTCTAAAGTATGCGTGGTGCAGGATGTGATTGATAAATGTAGTATGATTTTTGTTTACTTAACTAACAATTTTCGATCTCCTGAACTGAAATTTTTTGTCGAGGAAGCGATCGGAATTTGTCGTTTACAGTTAGGTAACATGTCGTATGGACCTGTTCATAACAACAGTCAATGGCTTGTTAAACCAGTTCACACTGCGTCTCCGAAAATGCGTGCCTACAAAGTACCATCCGGGTTACTTACCATTAGCGGAATAGACTGGTATGATAAACATACTGAACACACACAGCAAAAAATCCGCGCTGTAGTACGTACTGCATATAATGCAAGAAAGCAGAGAGAAATGGAATCATACATATCTGATAATTCACATATGCCATTGCATATGAATGACAAGGTTCCTATTAGCCAGACGAGGCCTGTGACAACAAGAACTACAAGCACAAAGGTTGCGTCAAATGCAAGAAATATGAGCAACAAGCAACGTGAACATATCAATTCTAACGCATCGGTTGATGCTATGTCTTACGTTGGGAACGTGCCACAATATGATTTTATACGAAGTCAACAAAATACCTACCCCACAGGGGAAAACTTTTCGAGACCAGTGCTTCCCACATCACCAATGAGTGATGGTCACCACCGTTCACCACACGACAGAGTTCCTAGTCAGTATTTGTCGACTAGTTATCCATATGGTCCAATTTATCCGGAACAAAACGCTCATAGATCTCTACCAGCAAATACGATGACACAAAACCATGGTCAAACTGGTCAATACCCTCAAATGCTTCCTCAAGCAAACCAATACTTTCAGCCTTCAGGATACCACCAGATCAATGCACAAAATGGATATATTGTTCAGTCTGCTAGTATGCACGATCAATTTCCACAACCTCCGCGTCAAGGAGACGTTTTTAATTATTCAAATGCGCCTGTTTATCCTGGCTATGCCAATACACAGACTATTAATCGTCGCATGGATGCCCCGCAAACAGGCTATCATGGACACCTTCGATCCGGCCAGAACCAACCTCCAAATCTTACGGGAATACAATACAGTCCTGAAATCTATCCAGCTACACCACATAATAACCAATATACAAATACTGGAATGCACATTAACATGCAAGGCAACAGCAGCAATTTTCAATTGCCTTTGCGGCAGCAAGGTATAAGTGCCCAACAGGCAAATGGTTACTATCAGAACCAACCGTTAAGTAGGGACGCTTATCCTAGCGAACAGGGAAACTTTCTTCGTGATCAAAGAAATGATGCACTCCCACCCACACAACTAAGTGTCGTTTCACAAGTGACAGGTAACCTAATAGTGAACCCGAACCTTTCCACTGATGATGTTGAAGTTGATTACGGCTCCATAAAGCACGCAGGCCATGCTAAACAAGGATCAAAATATGGCAGGACAAAGCACAAGCGTTCTTCTAAAAGATACGGTACGTTTCATAAAGTCGCCATACATGTAAATTAAAACATTATACATTATGCTACGTTTTTTAGTTACAAGTGTATAATTTGATTAATTGGTTTGTTTCAGTATATTATTTGAAAACAGACGTAGATCTTTTATTTTAAAATTTGTTTTATAAAGTAGAGAACATGGTAGCAGTAGACAGTAGGTTTTGTTTGCAGTTTCATGCTAATAGAAGGGGTTATTATTTCATCTTGTCAGAATCAACAGATTCTGAAGAATCCAGTAGCGATAGTGATTGTGATATTCGGAAACAACGAACACAAAATCGAGTGAAGAGAAAGGTGGTTAATATCGTTGGCAGTAAAATAGTTCAAATTGGGCGAAGTAACAAAGTAGTCGAAAGCAGTATCAGTTACTCTGACGATTTTGAGAACCCACATTTGCTCGAAACAAAATATGAGCAGGTCGGAACGAAGTCTAGGTAATTATTGTCACATTCCAGTTAAACGTACATCAATGTTTTTAATAGATTAAATTAACTTTGAGTAAAGAGAAATGTATCAGTCTAGTTTTGTCTTTAAAAATAATTATAAAGAAAACTATCTATAATTGCTTGAAGCTAGATAAATCACCCTCTTCAGGTTGACAATATATGATAAAGCAATAATATATGAAATGAAAAAAAGCTGTTTAATTTAAAAGAAAAGACAATGATATTCAATGAATCATTTATACATTCACTGCTTTAAACGCGAAATTTTCCTTGTATTAATCATAAATTAATACGAGGATCTTTGTTTCGTTACATATTTTCACAGCCTTTTCGCTCTTTTGTAAAAAGAAAATGCAATATTTTGACAATAAGCAGAGTCAAAGCGTCATTGAAAATATAGAACGATAATTCAGTATCTCATTTTATTGAACAGTGATAGTGCATTCATGTAAAATAAATTCTTAACTTAATCATTTTTCTTTTTTTTCAATTCATACATAATAGGACGGACTATACTGGAAACTCTCTGTCAAAAGTTAATGAAGGTTCTTTTGTACAACAAGTAAGCTCTGATATGCAGTCACCATCAAATTGTAATATTTTATCAACGGATAACATGTCGTTAGACAGCTCACTAGATACGTTAAATATCAATAAGGATTTTAGAGTAAAAGAAAAGTTTATGATAGATAAGGTGATATTGCCAGCCAAAGCAAGTGTTAAAGATGATAAGCAATTGGAAGGCCGTTGTATTGAATTAATGAATATGAATGTAATCGATACCAAACATGCAAATAACGCCGATTTGAATATAAAATCGAATGATCGATATTCCCGTGGATATTCTGAAAAATTCAGTTCAATTCGATATCATGGTTCAAGAGTAGTAGACCTTTCTCCGGATCCGATTGAAGATCGCTGTAACGAAAACGAAGATAACTTGTTTGAAAGTGGTTCGTACAATAATGAGCATACAGTCACCGAAGCAACCTTTATGTTCAGCAATGCTAGGAAAGAGAGAGCAGGATTACTCAAAGGGGGTAGTCTGTTCTTAAAGTCAAGTTCACAGGATATACATGTAGCAAATACAGAAAATGAAATTGATTGATCGAAAACGTTTAGACTATTAAGGGAGTATTGACGTATCTACATGTAATGATTCATTCTAATGACTTATAGCTTACAATAGTATTATTTTTTCACGTGTGTTTGTATATAAGCTATTTTTTCGTTTATCATGTACTTTTTATAAATACATGTGTATTTAGTGTTACGTATTTCATCGAAAGATTGCCCGAAATTATTTTTTTCCGCGTAATGAATTTGTTGATTGTAAAGTATTTGAATTTTTTACAGCTGTACATTTTAAAACAGTCGAGATGGGAGTGTTTATTTTGCTGAAATTTGCGTCTCACCTGTTACAGACGAAATACGCTAATACTTGTAAGCAATGTGTAATCTCTCATATCGTAATGGATTGCATTGCTGCTGATCAAGGGGAGTTTTCAATGTATTGTAAAGCGAGATAGCAATTTCATATCAGTATGTTAATCCTGCAAAAAAGAATTGAACGACATTATACAATATGTATAGTGGAAACTCTCTATCGGTTAATACACGTTTGATAAAATGATTGTTCGATATGCTTATCTAGACATTTATTCCTCCAAATTACGATTTCATAATTGTTAATGATAGCCTACGTGTTGTTAAGGTTTGAATATTATTGTTCTTCATACATTGTTTTACAAATTTTGAAAGCTTTGATATTTTATAACATTGTTTTACATTATCTGAAAATTAAATCGTTTATAACATATGAAATCATTTATAACATATAATCAATACGTGATTGACATTTCGGCACTAATGAAACACACCGAACTTGCGTAACGAACGTGTCTTTTGATTGTATATATCTGACGTGTAGATCAGAATATCTGACGTGTAGATCAGAAATAACAGTCATTTTTTTTGACAAAGATGAGATAAAACACATTAAACACTTGTACTCAACACAACAATAAATGAAAATAAAACAATATAGAATGAGCATCGCTTCATGATATTTTCACCTTAGTGCAGTATCAGGTTAACTCCTATAAAGTTATAAAATGAGTTATAATTAAGGAGTTAAAAAGTTACTGCCAAGGTGACGATGTGCCAAGATTTAAAAGTTTGGTAGATGGCTTATCACGCTGATGAATTTCAATTTTCATGCAATGTTTATGTTTGATAATAGATGTTACTTTAGCATTTAATAGAACTGATAGTTATGTAATTATAACGCATAATACTGTGATATACCAGGCTTAAGTACATGTATACATGATATTAAGGCTTCGTCATTTTTTTTTAATTCACTTATAAACCCTTTACATTATGAGCATTTTGTGAAAAATGGCTGTTTTCATTTAAAAGTCTCCCGTTAAAAGTTCAAATTGCTATAAAACTATAAAAAAACTGTTTCAATACTAATCAAACTTGGCACAAATGTTGACTGGACTATTCCCTTTGTAACAAAGTGCTCAGTCTTAAATTTCCTGTTACCATGGCAACGAGGGGACATCTCAAAATTGCCAAAAATCACTATTTTGCGTTGAATTTTTTCCATCCAAATTGATTTCAAAGTGCTGCAACTTCTCAATGGATTGATCTAGAGTCAAATGCTTTTCAGCGTTGGTTACACGTTACCTTATGATCGACCTGGGGTCATTTTTAGCCTCTCACAAGTTCACAATTTTCTTGGCGATGAGGGGAGCTGCCGTTTTTGGATAGGGGCGGCGCCGAAAAAGTAGTCATTTTTTAAAACAACATTTCTTAAACTAAAACAAGTGTTGGGTGCCTAAATAAGGCATTTTCACCATTTGAGACAAAAAAAAGGGGGGGGGGCAAAGGCGTTAAAAGGCGTGTATATCTGGTAATGGGTTAAAAGAAAATTATGAAAATACCTGAAATTACCCAAAATCGCGTTCTTCCATGTTAAAACATGACCTAATACATAATTTTGAAGAAAAATTGTTGTTTTGTAGAATTTGGTATTTTTTTCATTAATAAAGAAAACTAACATTTTTTATGTTTGTTGTTTCAAATAAAGATTATTGAAGTTGTATCTCAAGAGAGTGTGTTTCTTTTTCAAATTGTTTGTTACAAGTGAAGCCAAAGAACTGTTATCCCACTGAATTAATATAGTTTATAAATATGTAGTATCAAAGTTAGCCTATGTCATCAGTATTATGTTCAGTTCAGCGTCCACGATAAAACAGTTGTTATCATTTTTTAAATTGAAATCTTATTCAGTTTCACTGAAAGGCGGTGTCAATTTGGTGCACAGAAAGCATCTTAAACCAATAAAAAATCATTTTTGGTCATAGTCAGGGTCATATGTAGGTTTTTTTTTATAGGAAATGCTCAATCAGATTTACTTTTATTGACTGAGCTTGTTTAAAATACTGAAAAAAAATCAACTACATGTATAATAGTTTTGTTGTTGAATGCATGTTATGCGGTATTTTTAGTTTCTTCTATTTAGCCTTTTTCAACTTGGGTGGTTCCAGTTTTCCTTTTTGAATACTGTATAATCACCCTTAGGACATAATGCCTGCTTTTTAAATTTGTCTTTTGACGTCTTATCTGTGATATGCAGGCTTCATATCCTCAGATCCCCTTTCTGAATTCCATTTTATTTAGTTCCGCCCATTGTTTTCTCATTTAGCGCACACGCATTCCTTTAATACGGGACCATACGCCGCTTTTCATGGCACTCACGTGTCACATTGAAGGTCCCATGATAACCGCAGTTTGAACATATCTGCGGATGTTTCTAAATTTAAAAGTTCACCATTTTCATGTTTAAATGTTGAATTCTGCTTAAACCGGTGCTAGGTATGTGGAAGGTAACTTGCACTTTTCAGTACCGTCCATGAACAGGCTCAATCAAACCGATTCTGCAACAATTTCAATTTTGTCGTCGGTTTGGGCGTTCTATAGGGATTCCGTTTTCTTATTTTATCAAGCTTCATACAAAGCTGATTATGAAGTTACAAAAAAGATACATTTGTCATGTGCTTGAAAGCATTAACCAAAAGAAATTAAAATAATTCACGATTTCAAAAATGAGATTTATATTTGCCGTTTTTGTGTCGCCTCTACGGAGTATTGGCGACTTACAGGGATCACTTCTTCGTCGTCTGTCTGTTCGTCCGTCTCAAAACTTCTCCGGACTATTCCTCATAAACTACTGGTGCAATTTCATTCAAACTTTAAAAGAATGATCAGTACCAAGTCTAGTTGTGCATATTGTCAGCATTTTCCGGTTCAATGATTTTTGTCAGAGTTATGGCCCTTTAATAATTTTTATTTTTAACGTTTGTCCGAACTACTCCTCTTACACCACTAATGCAATTTCAATGAAACTTTACAGGATTGATCTGTAGCTTAAGTCCTTGCGCACATTACACGGGTTTTCCAGTTGAATGATTAATGACCGAGTTAGCTGAGTTATGGCCATTGAATCAAAAAGGTGTTTTTTGTGTGTTGCCAGAAACACAAAAGCTTGTTCGGACTACTTTTCAAAAACTGCTGGTGCAATTTCATCCAAACTGCACTGGAATGATCATTACCAAGTCTAGTTGTGCATATCATCGGCTTTTAATGGTTCAATGAATTTTGTCGGAGTTATTATTTTTATTTTTTGAGTTAGAGTTATGGCCCTTTTATTATTTTTATTTTTTTAAAGTTTGCCCGGACTCTACTCCTCTTATACCACTTATGCAAGTTCAATGAAACTTTACAGGATTGATTGGTAGAATAAGTACATGTACTTGCTCATATTACACTGGTTTTCCGTTTGAATCATTTTTTGCCAAGTTGTGACCCTTGAATGAAAAGGGTGTTAATAAAGTTTGTCCGGACTACTCCTTTTATACCACTGATGCAAGTTCAATGAAACTTTACAGGATTGATTGGTAGGTCACATGTTTATGCATAATACACAAGTTTTTTGCTTGAATGATTTAGCTGTGTTATTGCCCTTAAATAAAAAGGTGCCAGCTACACGGAGGCTTGTCTGGACAACTCCTTAGAAACTACTGGTGCAATTTCATCAAAACTTTAGGGGACTGATCAATACCATATCTAGTTGTGCATTTCATCAATATTTTTCAATTTATTGATTTTTGTTTAATTTTTTTACTCCTGTTATACCACTAATGCAATTTCAATGAAATTTTACAGTACTAGTGATTGGTAGCCCAAATTCTTGTGCATATTACATAGGTTTTTAGGTTGAATGATTTTTTGCCGAGGTATGGCTATCATGAGGCGACTCATGTTATCACTGATGGCCCTTGTTTCTATGGGTTTATAGTGGACTATTTGTGTACACAACTGTCTTCAATCAAAACTCGTCCTGTGAGAGCAAACAAACAACATTGAACATTAAATGCCCTTCTCTTGGCAACCAATTTGCTATGTTTCCAACCATATCAGCTATTCTGAACCATTCCTACTGAACCCAATTTATTCTATACATGCTCATTCTTGAGTAAAATATTTCAATCACAGAAATTCATTGAAATCTATGAAATTCTTAATTAATATGACATATTTGAAAAAAAAACGAAAGAATAAACTATGTATGAGAAGCTGCATTCCTTATTACAGGTCAAATAAAGTTGGTCTTTTCTTTAGAAAAATATTGCCACTTCATGTATAATACAACAAATGTATTTATATTGTGACCAGTGATGACTAAGTTCCACACCAAAGAGGTCAATGGGCAACGCGGACGCTAGCCTTTGAACGGATGAACTTTAATTTACTGACCACAAAATGTATAATAAAATAATGATATACAGGAAACAAACAACAAGGGAAAAGGTGTAATCTCTAGATTAAATATTTTTGTACTAATGTATTATAAGAAAAAACACCTTGTCAAAGTTTCATTAAGATCATGCCAAACGAAACAGTAAGAAATCTTGCCCACACACGAATAAACATGCCCACACAAGAATAAACATAAAAGAATAAAGAAATCTTCTTAACTAAGGCAAGATGACCATGATGGTCCTAGATCGATGACTAATATTATTTGAAAAGTATCACAAGATGATGCTACTAGAGGAGAACAATAAGTTCGTGGAACTCGGGGTTTAACTCCAAGGTTTGAAGATGGTTTTAACATTATTATCAATATAATACCCATTCACTGCCCACTATTCAAAGCGGTCTTTGCCTTTGAAAGAAGAGTCGTCTGTTTGGTCATCAAACGGCTATGTAGAAGCCTTCAGCTCATCATAGTCTAAAAATCCCGCAATTGGGATGTCAAATTTCAAAACTGATGCTAGTAATGACATAGGGCCAGTTTTGGACTGAATGGCAGATGATTTAACTGCGCAAAGGTGCAGTCACGAACAGCAGCTTAAGCTTTGGACTTGTGCACATGGGTAATATCATGCAAAAGGACACTAGCGTCCTTTAATAACAAGCCCTTATTAATTAACGAGATTGGCATGATATCCTCCTGTAATTGGAGTAATAGCAAACTTGTCATCCCTTCGGAGAATGTCCTACAACTCATGGCAATTACCTTGCTAGCTGATAGTTGGTTTCAAAATTTCTAAGGCGAGATGAGCGAGAAAGAGGAGTTGGCATTGCATACTTCTAGAAGTTCTGGACTTGAATCTACCCTTTGCTGGCAATCTTGCATGTTTTAAAATTTGACAGATTTAAAAAATAAAAATCATTAAAGGGCAATTACTCTGGCAAAAATTAATGAACTAGAAAATGCTTATTATATGTACGTCTAGACTTAGTATTGATCATTCTTGTAACGATTGGATATAATTGTACATGTAGTTTCTTAGGAGAAGTCAAGAAAGCTTCTGTGTAGCTGGCAACAAAACAATAGCTTTTTGATGACGAAATATTTGTCAAGCAAAAAACCTGTGTAATATGCACAAGTGCTACCGATCAATCATGTTAAGTTTCACTGAAGTTGCATCAACTAGACATGGTATTGGTCACTCATGTAAATTTTGCATGAAATTACACAAGAAGTTTCTGAGGAGTAGTCCAGACAAGCTCTTGTGTAGCTGGCAACACAAACACACCTTTTCGTATTCAAGGGCCTTAATTCGATCAAAAATCATTTAATCAGAAAACCTGTGAATTATGCGCAAGTACTTGAGCTACCAATCAATCCTGTAAATTTTAATCGAAATTGCATAAGCTGACAAAAAAAAACTTTTTTATTCAAGGGCCGTAACTCGACCAAAAAACATTCAACCGGCAAACCCGTGTAAAATGCGCAAGTACTTGAGTTTCCTTGAAATTGCATTGGTGGTCTAAAAGTAGTAGGCCGGACAAACTTTAACAATAAAAATCTCATTGACCCAGAAAATGCCGACAACATGTACAACTAGTCGTTTTTGAAGATTAGTCCAGACAAGTTTTGTGACAGACGGACAGACAGACGTAACTACAAATTGGTACTTAAATGACTTTTCCTTTGATCTTTTTAGTCATTTTAGTTACACAAGGCTTAAAAGACACACAAGTGCACACAAGAAATGGAATGAATAGGATCAAAGAAAATGTACATTTCCTCTTATTCTCCAAGTCACACAAGTACCTCTGTGTTTGTACAGACAGACAGACAGACAGACAGACAGACAGACAGACAGACTATGGAGAACTGATCCCTAAATGTCGCCACTACTCTGTAGAGGCGACACAATAAAACTTTTTTTTATTAAAGGGACATAACTCAGTCCAAAATAATTCAACCAGAAAACCCGTGGACTATGCGCAAGAACTTGAGCTACAGATCAATCCTGTAGTTTGGATGAAATTGCATTAGTTGTATAAGAGGAGTAGTCCGAACAACCTTTAAAAAATAAAGTTATTTCAGGGCCATAACTCTGACAAAAATCATTGAACCGGAAAATGATGACGATATATACAATAAGACTTGGTACTGATCGTTCCTGTAAAGTTTGGATGAAATTGCACAATTAGTTTTTTAGGATTAGTCCGACGGACAGACATATCACGGAGAAGTGATCTTTACGTGTCGCCATCATTTCACTATCATTTAGCACAAGTCTGTCAACACA